CTCGTCAAAACCTACCGCTCCACTCTAGCCTCAGCCAAGTCGTCCTTCTCTCCAGGATAATCCTGGAGGCGAAGAACAACCCCAGGCTATTGTGTTCTACCACATCCCGACTCCTCCGGCCCCCCCGCCACCCCGCGCAGGTCATCTCCTCCAACCTTCACTGCGAGGAGATGCTGGATTTCCTTGAATAATCCAAAATCAAGGGAATTCGCTCCGCGGTTACTTCCCCTCCAACATCCACCCACCCGCCACCCCCTCCCACCCACACTCCGAATCCTACCCATCCTCCCCTACACACTTTTGTACCCGTTTCCCCACCCTCTGTCACCAAACTCATCCTATCCCTGAAACCCACCACCTGCTCCCTTGACCCCATCCCCACTCCACTCCTTATCTCCCAGCTCCACCTCCTTGCCCCACATATCACAGACATCGTCAACCTGTCCCTCTCCTCTGGCTCTGTTCCCATTCCCTTAAAAACTGCCACCATCACTCCCACCTTGAAAAAACCCTCCCTTGATGCGTCGCAGCTATCAAGCTACCGGCCCATCTCCAACCTCCCCTTCCTGTCCAAGGTCCTGGAACGAGTTGTCGCCTCCCAGCTGCGCTCTTTCCTCTCCACCCATTCACTATTCGAACCCCTTCAGTCGGGTTTCCGTGCTGCCCATAGCACAGAAACTGCCCTGGTCAAGGTCACCAATGACATCCTGACCATCTGTGACCAGGGCTCCCTCTGCCTCCTCGTCCTCCTCGACCTATCGGCAGCATTCGATACGCTATCCTCCTCCACCGCTTGTCCTCCCACCTCAACCTTCAAGGCCCTGTCCTTGAGTGGTTTAGGTCGTACCTCTCCCACCGTCTTCATTTTGTTTCCACAAACGGCTTTTCCTCCACCCCCCGCACTGTCTCGTGCGGTGTCCCTCAGGGCTCTGTCCTCGGTCCCCTCCTCTTCACCCTCTATATGCTCCCCCTGTGGTGACATCATCCGCAGACATGGGGTTAACTTCCACATGTATGCGGATGACACCCAACTCTACCTTTCCTCCTCTACCCTCAACTCCACGACCCCGATGTCCTGACAGCTGTCTGTCCGACATCGAGTCCTGGACGAGAGACAACTTTCTTCAGCTCAACGTGCGAAAACTGAGGCCCTCCTGATTGGCTCACGTCAGCGCCTCCGCACCTCAGGCGCTGACAGCATCAGCATCCAAGGCTGCACTCTCCACCTCTCAAAGCCATCAGGAACCTCGGGTTCTGTTCGACCCTGAGCTGTCCTTTCTCCCCCACATCCGCGCCACAACTGGCACCGCCTTCCATCACCTCCGGAACATCGCCAGACTACGGCACTACCTCACCCCTCACGCGGCTGAAACTCTGGTCCACGCCTTTATCACCTCAAGGCTGGACTATGGGAACTCTCTCCTCGCCGGCCTTCCCGGCCCTCCCTCCACACTGCAGGTCATTCAGAACTCTGCAGCTCGTGTACTGTCCCGCACCAGACACCGAGACCACATCACTCCCACCCTCGCCCTCATCCTCGCCCTCGCTCGCCTCCACAGGCTCCCCATCCCCCAGAGGATCGAATTCAAGATCCTCATCCTCACCTACAAGGCCATTCACGGCCTCGCTCCCTCCTCCCTCTCCGACCTACTATCCCCCTACCTACCTGCCCGTACCCTCCGTTCCTCTGGCTCCGGTCTGCTCCACATCCCCCGCCCCAACCGCCCTACCATCGGTGGCCGGGCCTTCAGCCTCTCAGCCCCGAGGCTCTGGAACTCTATCCCCCAGTGCCTTCGCCACTTCCTCCCTTTCCTCCTTCAAGGCCCGTCTCAAGACCTTTCTCTTTGACCGTACCTTCAGCTCTCCTCTCGACTCTCTACCCCCTCCTCGCTCCCTCCCTTCCCTCCCCTCACCCTGACCATTTCCCCCCAATGCTCGGGTCCTGACCTAACTGTACAGTGCCTTGGGACGTCCTCCCGACGTGAAAGGCGCTCTATAAATGGAATCTTGTTGTTGTTGTTGTTTTCCTCCTCCCTGGAATCATAGAATTATACAGCACAGAAGGAGGCAATTTGGCCCATTGTGTCTGTGCCGGGTCTTTGAAAAGAGCTTCCAAATCAACCTCACTCCCCCGCTCTCTCCCCATAGCCCTGATCAATCCCACTCGCCCCGCGCTCTCCCCATAGCCCTAATCAACCCCACTCCCCCGCTCTCTCCCCATAGCCCTGATCAACCCCACTCCCCCGCTCTCTCCCCATAGCCCTGATCAACCCCACTCCCCCGCTCTCTCCCCATAGCTCTGCAAACTTGTCCTCCCCAAATAATTATCTACTTCTCTCTTAAAAGTTGTTATCGAATCGGTTCCCACCAGCCTTTCAGGCAATGATTCCAGATCCCAATAACTCGCTGTGTGAAAACATTTCTCCTCACCTCCCGTGTTTTTTAAAAGCTATTTTAAATCGGTGTCCTCAGGTCACCAACCCACCCGCCATAGTTTCTCCTTGTTCACTTTCCTTCATAAGTTCCAAAATTTCCATTACGTCTCCTCTTAACCTTCTCTGCTCCAAGGAGAGTATTCCTCGTATCTCTCGCCTCACTGATAACTGAAGTCCCTCATTCCTGGTACCATCCTGGTGAATCTCCTTTGCACACTCTCCAATGCCTTGACATCCTTCCTAAAGTGTGGGGCCCAGAACTGAACGCTAAAGTAAACATTTGAGGGGACAATGTCCAGTCCTTCCCAGTAAACTAATACTAAATCTCATCAAATGCTTGGGACAGAATAACTTATTGAATGGCTTAAATCAAACAAATAGTATAAGGTTTACAGACCAAAACATCTGTGAATTTTAGTGAAAAGCAGGCATGTTACCAGAGGAAGCTAATATGAGATGTGGGCAAAGTGCTTTAGATTTTAATTGGAAGTTCTCAAACCTTAACTATCAGGTAATATGGATTATTCCCAAAAGCATTTAATAAGATTACATGTTAGTTGTTGATAACTATCTTGGCCACAGAAAACACATTCAAGGAGAGGCTGATAGACTGAACCCGCACCATCTCATGTTGCATTCCTCAGGGCTCTGTCCTTGTTCCCCTCCTCTTCAATATCTGCAGACATCATCCGCAGACATGGAAGTAACTTCCACATGTATGCGGATGACACCCAACTCTCTCTCTGCCCCCACCCTCGACTCCAGGACCCACTGCTGTCCTGACAGAATGTCTGTCAGACATCAAGTCCTGGATGGGAGCGAACTTTCTACAGGTGAACGTCAACAAGACCGAGGCTCCTGATTGGCTCCCGTCAGCACCTCTTCAGGGCTCTTATGGGAAATTTATGATAAACCTCTTTTGGACCACACTTTGAATAGCAGATCATCCAGAACTCTGCAGCCCGTGTCCTCTCCTGCATCAGGCCCCGTGACCCTGTCACCCCCCTCCTTGTCCGACTCCACCGGCTTCCCATCACACAGAGGATACAGTTCAAGATCCTGGTCCTCACCTTCAAAGCCCTCCATGGTCTTGCTCCCCCCAACTTCACTGACATCCTAACCCCCTACCATCCTATTTGCTCCCTCCGCTCAGCAGATTCCAGCCTCTTCACGTCCCCCACCTCGCCCGCTCCACCATTGGCAGGCGGCCTTCTGTCACTCTGCCCCCACCCTCTGGAACTCCATCCTGCAGTCTCTCCGTCTCGCCCCCTCCCTTGCCACCTTCAAGACTCTCCTCTTCAACCGTGCTTTCAATTTCCCCCCCTGCCCTCCACCCTCCCCGGGTCCGTAACTCTGTGCCCAGGGCTTTAGGACATCCTCCTGACGTGAAAGGCGCTTTACAAATGTAATTTTGTTGCTGTTGTAATACTTGTGGATAACTGACTGAGCAACATTACTAAAATCTTGAAAGGAATCGCAAATGTGACAGGAAAGTAGTATTTAATTTATAAGGAAATGAGAAAATTGCAATGAGTCAGACCAGAAGATATGAAAGGAAATTTGGATTTTTCAACCAAGTAGTACACAAACCATGGAATAGTGCGAGTGAGTTTCATCAATTAGTAGGTTCTTCCATTCCCAACAATGCTATGAAAGATGAGCTAATCAGCGCAGGCATAGATCTTTAAAGGTTGAAAATACTTGACCAACTTTATCAAATTCTGAAATAACACTGAAGAATTTGGAGAATAAGAAATAACAGTGGTTGCAACTTACATGGATTTTCAAAAGTATTTGATCTTAGAGGCTTGTGGCAATGATTATGATATTAAACAGGAAATATTGTTTTGAGGACATGGAGACATTTGGAGGTCAGATCACAAACAGTAGAGGAATGTTCATAAATTCTAATTTGAGTAACAGAATTCAGTTACATTCTTGGAGGTTTTGCCTGGTTGGGAAGATGAAATAAATCAGGGTGAGTCCAGGAATATGGCTTACACAAGGTCTATTGGAAGGAGCAGCTCAATGAGTTCAATACCTTTTCTCATGCTGTACTTTTATCATTTTCAATTTCACAGACACCCATTAACACTTACTGAAGTTACAGGAGATACACATCAGTTACAGAACATGAACATTTACTTTACAGGCAAGTTATGACATTACAGTTACAAAGCTATTGTGGGTGAAGCACAGTAATGTTTCACCTACTTTTCTGGCGGTTTTAAATAAAAGATTTGAACAAGAATTGGCTGCAATAATGTATCCTTTCATAAGTTAGAACTAAGTGAAGTTAGTGCCTAGGTTTATAACATGAGCTGTACCCGAAGGCACTAAATTAGTTGTGGCATGTGCGAGCTTTGGAGTTTCAATGGAAACATGCAGGTGATTCAGGAATTATGAGATCATTTACAGCCAAAATAATTTGAGAATGAAGTTGCTTTCAATCTCACACCCACTTCAAATAATTCTGTACAACTGTAGAGCACAACAGATTCCCAGCAAGTGGAATGCAAGAGAATGGATAAAAAAAAAAGACACCAGATTGTAGAACGACTTCACACCAAAGGCAAGATTTTTCTCTGGTAACTGCAGTTTCATTTTTAATTTACAAAATGAAAAAAGGTGGCAATTCAGAACAGGTCAAACAGCATCTGAATAGAAAAACAAGAATGCCTGAGAATGGCAAAGCTGACAGGGATTTGCTGACACACCAACTCTAGCATTTCCAGCAATTGGTTATTATTTAATTGACCAACATTTAATTTTCAGCATGCTGCAGAACTCAGGTACATAGTTTGGTTGGAAAGTCTCAGTAGCTCCACATATACTGATGTGTGCACAGTTTAAAAAAAAAAGTCAACATTTGGAAGCCCTTAGCCTGAAGGTCAATTTAATTCAAACTCAAATTACACGAGGAGTAATACAAGACAACTGAAAATAAGCTTTAAAAATGTACACACTGCACTTTCTACATAAATAGGAAGAAACCAAGCATTTAGAGTTCTGTTAACAGCACAATTGTAGAACAGTTAAATCTGATTAAATACTGTGCACATCTCAAGCTACAAACTGAGGTTTAATGTCACGGGTGAAACGATTCTCTTTATGATCTCACTTTGTTGTCATTCTAAGGCTAATGATGCAGTTTTACCACACGTCTCATGCTTTAATACTCAGGCTGGGGCTGCTCTTCCACTTGATGCTTATTAATATTATCAATCCATTTACAACAAGTGTGCAGTTTGATTTGATCACTATCCTCTCCCACTAATATTACATAACTATTGAAAGTCTAGAAAACCTTGTAAGGCTTGCCAGTGTTGCAGGGCTCATCTTTCCTCTCTTCTTTCTAAAATTCCAGACTCAATTAATGCTGCTTTATACCGTTGAAGGCAGCCAAGAATGCTTTTTACAAACCCCTTGGAGAGGGGAAAGAGTGGAAAGCCTATATCAGGGTAGCCAAGCTTCTCAGGAAGGAAGCTCCTGTAACTCTTTCGCCTCCTCTTTGGCTTCACGACAGACTGTGATGAATTCTTTTGTTCAGGAGTTAAGTAGGAATTCTCACATGAACCCTGTTGCTGCTCAGCATCTGTGTCGGGGCCTGCTCCAAGTACATCCTGTTGCTCATCGTACACATTAAATTCAAAACCATCCACTCCAGATTCCTTAACCTCCTGAACAGATTTGGAGGATATCTGTCCTACAGAAGCTGAGGGATGCTCTGACTTGCTATCTACTATATCAGAATGGGAGACCTGTGGGATGATTTCATTGCTCAATTCTGTGCTTCTTTGAACCATTTCATTGATTTCCAGCCAAGACTCCATTCTATACCCAAGGCGCCACCCGTTGCTAGAGAAATGCTCCCTTACTTCCTGCTCAAATATTTCAACAGGTCTCTGAATCATCTGCGTCATAGATTGCACCAGTTTTATGAGGGCCATCTCATTGTAGCAACGACTGTTCTCGTATCCTTCTTGTAAGCCTCGGTCACTATCAAACCCAGCCTCGTTGTAATATGGCTCATTCACAAGAATTAATCCTGGAAGACAACACGTATGGAGTATTAAACAAAAGAACATCTTTACACAGGTTCAGGTCAGGGCTCACACTGACATTTTCAACCCAGTTGCTAGTTTAATGCACTATGTACATTCCTATACAAGCACTGAAAATTGCAGTAATTTCAGAAGTTAAACGTTAATAGAATTTGACAGCAACACATTACAGAGGTAGTTTTGACTTCTGTTTTTAAAGCAGGAAGGAATGTTTCGCCAGCATACAGCCATTGGTGGAGGCAATATAATCAATATTTTATTACACATTGACATCAAATTTGTTAAGACAAGTCATGATATTGTGTAAGAAAAAAGTTCTGTCAATCACTAACCCCATACTTTAGGAATTAGAATGGCGTTAGGTCTAGTTACAAGACTACTGCAGGTTTGAAGTACTCAAAATGGTTTGTGGAATGATGCAGATGTTGGAATTGCCATGCAAATTACACAAGCAAACATGGACAAAATCTTAAATCCTTCAACCAAAATGAAGCAGCTAGAGCCTGGTTCAAGTTTTTTGAAAATTTTGATGTATCCTCCAGCACTCTGATTTACAATGCCTCAATGTGGGACGTCAATCTATTATTTTAACACCAACCTTGTATTGATATGAGCACTTGGAGAAGGCTAGATTTACTTGTCCATCGTTCGGTTCCCTAAATCAAACAGATGACAAACCATTAAACTGAGAAAAGTGAGCCATAAAGTAATCAAAGGTTTCAACAGGAACAAAGACCACTGAATATATTCATGGGGGGGGGGGGGGGGGAGGGGCGGAGCATGTGGTCACATTTCAAGCCCTCCAAGTCCCAATCATTCACAACTTTCTAAACATTAACCCTGCCTAGATCAGGTATCACTAAATTTAACTTCTTTCCCTCTTCCTCAAGTGCATCATTAAAACCCAGAGACCCTGTTACTTCTCTCCAAGTGTAATGACAACAGTCATTAGGAGGCTGCCAAGTGTGGATTTGAGTTCTGAACAAATGGATAGCTGACGCCATGACTCTGCTTGAGGCATCCGGCTTCACATCAAATGCATGAGAGATCTCAAAGCAGCTTTCAGTGCACAATGTCCTTTAGCCCACAGGCTAGAAATCCATTGTATATCTAGCCCACAGGCAGTACATACATTATACACTCTCCAACAGTGATAACTAATTGGAAATGAAGCTTCAGCACAGCTACTGACCACTGTGCACGGAGTCACTAAATCCTGCGCACAAGAGCACGAGCTCACAAACCTGCACTCTTCCAACATCTGTCATCGAAGCTTTACTCCCAAGTCTTTGGAGAAACTTCTGTTAGCCATTCTGCCCTCTCCATTCAGGACTACCTCCTGCTCCTTCCTCCCAGGCACATCTCAAGATGTAACTCTTTTTGGCAATCTTTCCCTTCCCACTCCCTTGGCTCCCACTCCAAGTTTGCATGCCCATTCAGTTTTGTAAAGCGCTTTGAGATATTCTCCCAGCATAAGACTCTTACATAAATATAAATTGTATTGTATCTACTTCAGCATAGTGGAGGGACCTCAAAGCAACTTCAATTGCTTGAGATCCAAGTCCAATGTTCTACCAGGTTTGGTCAAACATGGATTACAGATCCTCATGTAATGAACTTTGGGATAGAGATTAAGTCATTGAAGGCCATCTCTTTGTTGCAAACGGATTAATATTGGTACATTTTGTCTAACAATTCTACCCTCCAGCTGGTCCGGAATCTCATATGTCCTGATGCACAGATTTATGAAGGAGAACTATTCAGACGTAATATATATGAATAGTTAGTTGCAATGAAATTTTAGTCTGTCTCATAGTCTGTCCTTCTCAAAACAAAGATCTTTTGCTGAATATTAGCACAATTCCAAAGAACTGTTTTCAAGCAGAAGTTGACATCCATCGTGATCCCAATAAATACAATGAGATACAAATCAACTGTGAAAGATGTTTCACCTACCAATTAATACCTTTGAGGTCTTATTATAAAACGGAAGAGGGCAAGGGAATTGGAATAAATGACAGACACTAGGATTAAACATGGAGCTAAATTACCAAAATTTCAAATACACTCCTACGTGAAATAAAGTGAACTCTGAAAGACTCGACAAGAATAGCCAAATGCAGCTGTGCTGGATCCTTTCCTTTAAATGCAAGCAATTGCAAGTAGCTCAGCTACTGGTGCAGTGAAGCTTTGGTAACTTTACCCCACGGGTGTTAACCCTAATCCTACATTTACCATTGCGAAGTCCATTGTTCAAGAAGGTGAATGGACACAAAATCCCCATTTGAGTACAACACTACACCTAACAATTACAGGTTCCATTTTCTTGCCTCACATACCTTTCCAATCCACGTGCCGAGTAGACTGACGCACACCTTCCCATTATCATACAGGTTGGGGTTCAGCCGTCCACTGCACTGTGAAATATAACGGAATAGAGGAGGAACTGCAGGATAAACATTGGGAAGCTGGATATCAAAGAGGAACAAGCCATCATCATATGGAGTGCGTGTCGGACCTTTGATCAGTGCTGAGAACAGATCCTGTGCAAAGAGAATAAGGGACTGAGATGAACCCAACCAAATGCTTCCAATATAGTTATATACATGGTTAATTTCCACATTTGTATTAATACAAGTAATAAAATCTCAACATTTCTCAGTTTTAAACAAGCTGTAATTGGAGTTTAATGCACAATTGTTGCAGTGGCAACTCTTCCGTGGAAAAGTGAAAGATCAACAAGATCACAGCAGAAGTTCAGGTTAAGCATATTCTTCCTTCAGTCAATACTGCAACCTTCTCGTTACAGCATCAGTCTGCTTGTTTTTTAAAAGGAGTCTGGTATCTTGCCCTTAATAACCTTTTGGTATGTATTCCAGGTGTTGATTCTCCACTTGTGTGAAGGAAACTTCCAAGAATCTGTCCTAAATTTGCCTTCACACGCGTGAACCCATACCGTGTATCACTGCTGCTGCCTTAGCTTAAAGTAATATTGAAGTCAACTTTATCCTCTTATCCTCAACAAGATGCCCCTCAGAGGATTCTCTTCATGAGGCTAGCCATTACTACAGCTCATCTTTCAACACTGGAGATCAGCCACTTTTGTTACAGCAGCACGAATTATACACACAGTCCTCTAGATCCAACTGAAGCAGGACTTCTGGAGATCTCAATTGAAGTGACTGCCATGTAGCCCAGCACCCTGATAGCTTGTTTACTGGTGCATTGGACATAGTGAGCAATGAGTTAACTAATACAAGTCGTCTTTCGAATTCTCCTTGGCACTTCTATCTACCTTTCTTGGATCAGTTTTGAACTTCATTTACCAGTTTAGATATATCTGTTGAGCTCATTGCAAAATCTTTGCTTCTTTCTCCAATTTCACAATTCCCCCTAGCTTGGCGTCATCTGCAAATGTAACTATTTTGCACTGGATCTGTGCAACCAGGTCACTGATGCATACTAGAAACAGGAGTCAAAACAAGAGTTGTACCAAACACATCACTCAATATCTCCTCTCCCAGCTAATTTCAATCTAGCTTTCTTCCATTTTGATCTAGATCCCTTGATTCCCATCATCTGGGTATGGATTCCTGTCCACACGTCTTAGCTTTAATATCCACTGACAATTTGTAAAGCAGTCTTATGTTGTTATGCAGTACTTCTTTTAGGAATCTGGGTACATGACCTCATATAACTGCCCTGCAAAGTTGGGATGCAAACTCATTCACAACATTTCTGTGGCAAGAGCCTTCTATTTCAATTATTCTATTAGTTTTCTAATATTGCGATGGATTTGTAGTTGCCAGATTCTGGGTCACCATCGTTTACTATTGAAACCATGATTGCTGGTTTCTAGTCTGTCAGAATCTCCCCAGTGTTCACCGACTTACTCAAAATATCTAAAAAAAGAACTTTAGATGTTGGGCCATTACTTGCCATTCTGTCCTCAAAGGTTTTAACCATGATGCCATCAGGAAGCGAGGTAGCCAGAAGTGCCATCTCCTTTCTCACAGTGCTAAAAAATTTCCTTGGATCTGCTGGCTGGAATTCCATTTTTTTGAATGCATGACTGTCTGTAAATAAAATGCAGAATGCACTGTAACATTTGGTTGCCTTTATTACTGAAACAAAAACATATTTATATACAGAACACAAGGAAAGCTTTTTCTGGAGAGCCTTATGATTAGTATGATAAATACTATAACCATACAAATTCAAATATTTTCTTGCAAATCTAATTCAACTAGTTGTCTTTTGAAAATGCTCTTAAATTAGCTGACGAGTGGCAGCCAAACACTATGTCCAACAAAAATATTGAATTCCTAAAAAAAATACAATGAATGATCTGAAAGAAAAGCATTGAAATCTAATTAGTTCTTTAAATCCAAATTCACAACAATGTTTAATTCTCTGACCTGCTAAAAGGTACCCAGCCCACCTCTTCCATTACCATCTCTTTATACCTGCTCTTTGTATCAGCTTGGCTCAGTGTTTACCTCTAGGTAACATTGCTTTGCACATAAACTGCCCAAATACCCAGTGACTATTCTTACTCCAATTACATGTAAAGTACTCTGAGATGGACCACATTATAACTTGCTGTATCAAATGCAAAGAACTACAGCAGGAATGATGCAACAAATTTATTGAAGGGATCCAATTTGGGAAAATTAGAAATTTGGGTACTTATTGTAAACTTGCCCCCCACCCCAATCCTTCCCTCCTCTTCCCCAAAGATCTGCAAACAGGAAGGAGCAAAAGCTGCCGGTAGCAGAGCTTAGCATCTTACAAAGATCGCAGAAGATATACAGGGTGAGGGTGACCAAAAAGGTGTGTTATCTACCCTATTATCTAAAAAATCATGGAATCATAGAATATTACAGCACAGAAGGCCGTTCAGCACATTGTGCTAGCTCTTTGAAAGAACTAACCAATCAGACGCTGTTTCCTCATACGTAATTTTTCCTTTTCTAATTCCCTTTTGAAAGTTGTTATTGAATCTGTTTCCACCACCCGTTCAGGCAGTGCATTCCAGACTATAACAACTCTTGTGTGAAAAGATTTCTCCTCTGGTTCTTTTGACAATGATCTTAAATCTATGTCACTGGTTACTGACCCATTGGTCAGTGGAAACAGTTTTTTCCTATCTATTCTATCAAAAACCCTCATAATTTTGAACACCCGTATTAAATATCCCCTTAACCTCCTCTGCTCTAAGGAGAACAATCCCAGCTTCTCTAGTCTCTCCACATAACTAAAGTCCCTTATCCCTGGTACCATTCTGGTAAATCTCCTCTGCACCCTTTCCAAGGTATTGATATCCTTCCTAAAGTGTGGGGCCCAGAATTGGACACAATGCTCCAGCTGAGGCCTAACCAGTGACTTATAAGGTTTATAAATAAGCCTTATATATAAACGGCTATATATTTATAGCTTTATACTCCATGCCTCTATTTATAAAGTCAAGGATCCCATAAGCTATTTAACAGGTTTATCAACCTGTCCTGCCACCTTCAAAGACCTGTGCCTTCAGCTCCCCTCTCGACTCTCTACCCCCTCCTCGCTCCCTCTCTTCCCTCCCCTCACCCTGACCATTTCCCCCCTGCTCGCGTCCTGACCCAACTGTACAGCGCCTTGGGACCTCCTCCCGACGTGAAAGGTGCTCTATAAATGAAATCTTGTTGTTGTGTATGTGAAGCCCCAGGTCTCTATGCAATTGTACCCCCTTTAAAACTACCATTTAGTATATATTGCGCTCCTCATTCTTCCTCCCAAAATGCATCACCTCACACTTAAGAACATGTTAAGTCCCAAACTATACACTGTATCCCGAGATATTATTTTCTAGCAGAAATCTATCTAATTTGTTCTTGAAATAAATTAAATTTTCTGCTTCCACCGTCTCCCTCGGGAGCCTGTTCCCTAAGTTTACTACTCTCTCACTGAAGGTAGTGTTTTTGCAGATTTGTTCTCAATTACCCTCTTCATCTGATACTACTGTTCAGTACAACCCCTTAATCATTTTGGTTGCCCTCCTCTGTATCCTCTCAATTGCTGCAATTGCTCACCTTTTATTATTGCGGTGACCAGAACTGCACAGAGTATTCCAAGTGTGGTCGCACCAGGGATTCATAAAGTTGCAGAATTATCCCACTATTTCGGCTCAATATTGCCCTTTTAACACAGGCCATTATCTGGTTTGTGTTACTCACTGCTACTGAGTACTGTTACGATAGCTTTACTTTATTATCAATCAGGATTCCCAGGTCCTTTTCATTTTCCATACAGATTATTTTCTTACCATTTAAATAATAGTCACTTCCTAGGTTTTTTTTGTCCCCATGTGAAGCACTTCGCATTTCTCTACATTAAATTTCATCTGCTATTGATCTGCCCAATTCCCACTACATTTGCTGCAATACCTTCATTAGCCTCTCCGTTATATCATCAAAAAACTCAATAAAGTTTCCCCACCACCGACGTTAGGCTGACTAGCCTGTAGTTACCAGGTTTATTCTTCTCACCTTTTTTGAACTGAGGAGTAACATTTGCAACCCTCCAGTCCCCGGCCACTATCATATCCAAGGAGGATCGAAAGATTGCGGCCAGAGCCTCCATTATTTCCACCCTAACTTCCGTCAGTAACCCAGTATGCATCCCATCCGGACCAGGTGACTTTTCTATTTTGAGCGCTGCTAACCTTTTAAGTATCTCCTCTATCTATTTTTATCCTATCCATTTTCTCTACCTCCTCCTCCTTTAATGTGACATCATTATTTCTTTAGGACTTATTAAGACATTATAATGGTATCAGGACTTTTTGGTCACCCTCACTTCAGCAATACAAGTTTGTGCAATGCCCATCTAGACACATTACAACATTGTAAAAGTATAGCATCTCGTGCACCGTGTGTCAATGACACCCCAATGCCTCCTGCACTGCACATCAGTGTTTTCTGATACTTTGCAGTGGTTGCCAACCACCACACCAGATTCATACATACAATCACTAAGAATGCAGTATTTCAGACACTGATCAGTGATAGTACACAGCCTCTTTTATTGGAAGGAAAATTATGAAAGTAATGGCAAATATGACATGTACTTTGAGTCATCTTACCAGGCACCGATTCGAGTACAGAAAAGATCTCTCCTTTAGCACTAGTGAAGGTCACACCAGGTTTGCAACTCTGTTGGCAGAGCACAGGTGTATCACTGGACCACTCGGACTTCAATGGAGTCTGTACCTCTGACTTTTCTTCCTTCTTTTCAGTTTCCATCACGGCCTCCATCTTTTCTTCCTCCACAATAGCCACATTGTCCAGAGTCTTCTTGAGAGTCTCCTGTAGCTTTTTGATGTCATCTCGGAATTTCTTCTCCTTGGTCTGCTTCTCCGGTTCTATGGTCGGGGAAGTTGCCGAACCAGTTAGCAGTTGCTCCACAGTCATATTCTTTAGGCTTTCCAAAATCTTGATGGCTTCTTTTATCTCATGAAAGCCTTTGGGAGAACCATCCTTGGTACACTTCTCAAGTGAACATGCACCACTTGAAGCAGCTGCTGCTGGTAGAACCTGGTCCCCTTCAATATTATTATCTTGTGATTGACCTGATGATTCTATTGCAATACTCATGTCTTCACCCATCTTTCCGTTTTCATCCTCTGTAAGACCATCATCAGTTTCCCAGCTATCACTCTCATCTTCCCATTCATCAGATGTTGCTCCACTTGAGCTGCCGTCCACAGAATCCAAGTCCGACTCCTCAATGTCAGACTCCACATTGTACAGATGCTGCAGAAACAATGCAAATCAAAGTTAAAAACATCAACATTTAAAACTACATGTTCTGGTATTGCACTCACTTTAGGTTACGGCCTGGGCCAACAGAAACGTGCGGGGGCAGTTTGTCCGCTACAACGGTCCTCGGCCACGACAAACCCGCTACAAACAGCCCCTCGGGTGCTAACCTTTACACACAATGCGCTCGGCCCCAGACCTCTCACGCTGTTTGCTCGATGCTGCTACCATGGCCAGAGCGGCTGCGATCGTTTATGCACAGCGCTGTGAATTTTGGGATCGCAGAAGTGGCGTGTGCGGGAAATAAACCTCGATAGGAAAAGCAGCTGTGTCACACACTACTGCAACACATTCTTGGTAAGTGCTGCACTATTTAATTCAAATACTTAGTATTTTAAACAACTACATTTTCAGGAAATGTATAGCTATAGTTCAATCCGGATTGTTTCTCTTTTTAGGTTGGAGAATACAAAAATGTCCCAATGTTTTTGTAAATCCTGTGAGGAAGCCAAGTGGCAGCACATCTCAATTTCTGTCTGTCCCTCAGATAGAACTGTACTCTATCCAGAAGACCTTACGAAGAAGGGGGGGCAGGTGTTTTGCCACATTTGCTGCCACACAATTGACCACGTTCACAAGTTCACTGTTGATGAGCATATGAAACCTCAGGAACATTGGGATTGTAAGGCAGCAGCAATAAAGAAAAAACATGAAGGTAAAATACTTTTGATGTGTGTGTATATATATAGAATATTAAATGAAAATGTATCATTATTTGCTTTAATTTACAAAGAAAATCTTGATTTGTATGATTATAAATGTTAATCTCCTTCCTTTTTGATTGAATTTTAAAAGTACATAAACAACCATTGCAAAGAAAAACAAATAGACAGAACATTTCTAACAACAAATGCATCATGAAGATCAATTTTAATGTTTTCCTTTCTAGGTGGATCTGGACCTCAAAGACAACTTGGTCTGACAACCTGCATTAAAAGATAATAGAGCAGAAAATTGGGGAGAAGCCTCTTTGTATTGGAGTAGAATCAAACACCCCACTGTGTCACAAGCTCTTCTAAGAGTCTTAAATGTAAAACAAGTTAACTGTGATAAAGTGCTTGTCACAGACAGCGCAAGCTACATGAACAAAGCCAGTACTGTCGGGATTGTTTCTTCACACAATACATATTATATACATTGCCCATCTTCTGAACTTCATCTTGGAAATTTGACCTGTAATACTGGAGGACTTAAACACAGTGGAAGTCTTCTGCCAAAGTCCAATGCACTGGCATCAGTACTTGGAATTTATGGAGACAAAGGGTGGAATTAAACCACAAATGCCAGTCTTTGCTGTTCAGATGCGTTGTTGATCCTGGGTGAAGGCTGTTGAATATTTGTGTGAGTACTTGCCTGTCTTGGCAGAATTGCTTCAAGGAATGACATCCGAGGCCTTAGCCTCTGCAAAAAAACTGGAAATGCTCTTGAACAATAATGCTGCAGAGTTGCCAGCCCAAGCAACCTTTGTCACAGAGCATTCATCTGAGCTCCTAAACCTCACTGAAGAATGTCAGTGTACTTCCATCTGTACTTACGGGAGCAAAATTTATATTTGTTAATTGATTTCTCTGCCACTGCTGGAGCACAGGAGTACAGACCAAAGACAGTGAAAAGTTGGCAGCCTGTTCTGAGAGTGAGAGGCATGTGTCAGCCTTTTCCAGAGAATCATGCGAGACAGCAGTGAAAAGGTGGGACTGATTTTGAAAAAGCATCCGTTAATTGCTACCTATAAAGCAGTTCGTATTTTTGTTCCTCTCCAGCTAGCAACACTGGATGCAGAAAAACAAGAACAAAATTACATGTGTATGGCACCTTTCACGTCAGAAGGATGTCCCAAGGCCCTGAACAATCAGTGTTTTGAACCCGAGCTGGAGGTCAGGATCGGGAAGGGGGGAGGGCAGGGGAGAAGGAGGGTGACCGAAGGCACGGTCGAAGAGGAGGGTCTTGAGATGGGTCTTGAAGGTGGCAAGGGAGGGGGCGAGACGGAGAGACTGCAGGATGGAGTTCCAGAGGGTGGGAGCAGAGTGGCGGAAGGCCCACCAGCCAATGGTGGAGTGGGCGAGGCGGGGGAGGTGAAGCAGGCCGAAGCCCGCTGAGCGGAGGTGGCGAATAGGATGGAGGGGGTTAGGAGGTCAGAGGGGTCGGGGGGAGCAAGACCATGGAGGGCTTTGAAGGTGAGGAAAAAACCAGTAAAACACTGGTTAGGCCTCAGCTAGAGACTGTGTTCAGTTCTGGGCCCCACATATTGGGAAGGATGTCAAGGCATTGGGGAGGATGCAAAGGAGATTGACCAGGATGGTACCAGGAATGAGGGGCTTCAGTTATCAGGAGAGACTAGAGAAGCGAGGATTATTCTCTTTGGAGTAGAGAAGGTTAAGAGGAAACTTAATAGAAGTTTTGGAACTTATGAGGGGATTCAATAGGATGAACAAGGAGAAACTATTCCCACTGCCGGGTGGGTCGGTAACCTAGGACATCGATTTAAATAGTTGCTAAAAGAAACAGAGGGGAGGTGAGGGGAAATGTTTTTTTTCACAGCAAGTTATTGGGGTCGGGAATGCGTTGCCTGAAAGGCTGATGGAAGCTGATTTGATAACTTAAGAGAGAAGTAGATAATTATTTGGGGAGGACAAGCTTGCAGCGTTATGGGGAGAGAGAGCGCAGGGGAGTGGGGTTGATCTATGAAAACCAGTACTGAGAATTTTTTTGTTTCTGTGAAAATTTGATTTTGAAAATTTTAATTTCTCTGCAAACTGTTGAAACTGCATTTTTGCATCTTTTGAAAGGTGGCAGGACAGGCAGATAGAGCTGTTAAAAAAAGTTTTAAAAGTTTGGGGTTTAGATCAATGCCAGGGATCAGGAAACTATTGACCCTCAATTTCAATCTACACTCTGTGATAGCACATGGCCGAAGCAGAGGAACCAGGTCCTCTAACGTAAAAAAAAATCAATTTTTAAAAAAAAAACTTAATTTCCTCTCAGCCTCAAAGCGAGAATGGAAACTTTTTCTGGTTAAGCCATTGGTCAAATAACAGCTTTTAAGAGAGAACTGGATAGGTATCGGGGGAAGACGGGTTTGTGGGGTTATGGGGAGAAAGCTGGTGATTGGGGTTAATAAAAGTCAGTTGCTCTGTCAAACAGCCGCACAGACTCGATGGGCTGAATGGCCTCCTTCTGTGCTGTAACATTCTATGAATCTATGAATTGGTTTGCAGAGGTTAAAAGTTGCTGCTCAAGCTCCACACCTCCAACTGGTGAAACCATCGCTCAATGGGAGTGAATATGTGGATATGTGTCCGAGCTGTGAGCAGGAAGATAGTGGTAATGCTCTCACGCATTTCATCCTGGCTCACATGGGAGTTCCTGGTACCTGCCATCCACATAGTGAGGGCTTGTTTGATGTCAAGTGACTGTCCTCCAGGAGGGGGAAGTGAGGAGAGATGGGGAAGGTAAGCAGGGTCTGAGCCCAGCTCGTCGGAAGGACTTGGAAGGACAGACCAGTCACTGCGGGAAGGCCCACTGAGCTCCTGTTAACTCTGCAAGCCAAAGTCCTCACGCAACGGTGGACAACCTGTGGCCTGCAGAGCATCAACCCCCAGCCCGAACAATCGCGCAAGTCTAAGTAAGTTTGTGTTCGAGTTGTAGTGTGTGTTCAGTTTTTTCTCAATCATATATTTGTGGATTTATCTCATGAATCAAAAAATATTCAATCAAGAAAATTTATTTTGTTGGACGACCATACAGTCCTAACAGTAAGGTGGTCCTAGCTTGACGAGCAGTGTTTAACAGACTTAACAGCTTAATAGACAGCGTTTTCAATGGCAGGCTATGCTGTTCGACTCCAGCAGTGTCCCAACAAACACTCCGGTGTCCTCATGCCTTGGTTATTGCCAACCTTTGTTTCATACTCTCTGGAATTAGGTAAGCAAGTTACGTCCCTCCAGAGAAAGAATATGCAATACACTCCAAAAAATCTCAGGTATTTCCACGTATTTCCATGATGGACGTAACCTGCTTACCTAATAATAACATTAACAATAATAATAATCCTTACATTGTTATAGTACCTTTCACATCGGTTGGACATCCCAAAGCCCTTTACAGTAAAATGCTTGCTCTAAAACGCAGTGACTGTTTTGTGAGCAAATTCAGTAGCCAATTTGCACACAGGAATAATAATAATCCTTGCATTTGATACAGCGCCTGATCACGTCTTCGAGACGTCTCAAAGCCCTTTACAGGATATGCTGTAAAGTGAATATGGCTGTATATTTTGTGGGCGAAACGTGGCAGCCAATTGTGCACAGCAGCATCCCACAAAGTCGTGGCTTGAAGTGACTAATATTTTTAAAGGAATTATTACCACCGGAAAATCTATCCACCAATCGACTAACAACCTGTTTCCTACTTACTGCTGGGTAAACAGATGTGTGGACTAAAGAAATTTGCCCAACAATTCACCCTTCTGGGAATTAAACCCAGTCTCTTGCTTGTGAGGGGAGTGCTCTGACCGCTGAGCTACAGGACTCCACAAATCAGCCATGATGTAAATAACCATATTTATTTGGTGGATTGATGGCTAGTACACCAGGAGAAACTCCCTTTTCTTTTGATTAGTGCCATGGAATCTTTAATGTCCACTTGAGCAGGCAGATGGGGCCTTGGGTTAACATCTCATAAGAACATAAGAAATGCTCGATGAAAAAAAGACCAAGGTCCATCTAGTTCGTCTTCCACCTTCCTGGCGGTCACTGCACATATGTCCCAAACGCCTTCTGTCCATATCCCATAATGTTATTTCCTAAAAGAAAACTATCTAATCTGCATTTGAAAGAATCAACACTTCCTGCTTCAACCGTCTCCCTCGGGAGCCACAGGTTCACTATTCACTCACTAAGATAGTGTTTGTGAAGATTTGTTCTGAATTTAACCCTTTCAATCGCAGGCCGTGGCCTCTGGGTTTACTATTCTGGACAAGTTGAAACAGCCCGTCATGATCTATATTGTTTGGTTCCTTTAGAATCTTAAAGACAGCAATCATGTCGCCTCTCAATCTTCTCTTTTTCAGCGTGAACATGCCAAATTTGCTCCTCATAGTCCAGTCCCTCCATTCCCTCAATTATTTTAGTTGCCCTCCTCTATCTTCTCAATTTCTCCAATATCCTTTTTGTACTGCGGCGACCAGAACTGTGCACAGTCTCTAAGTACAGTGTCATCAATGGTTTATACAGTGGCAGAAATACCCCACTATTTTGGCTGCAATTGATCTTTTGATACATCCCAACAAATCTCATCCAAAGAACACCACTTCCAATAATACAGGGTACCTCCAGCATTATTATTCGAGTATCAGATTGTACAAGTTCTAAGCCCTGACATGGGGTTTGAACACACAACCTTCTGACTCAGAAGCAAGAGTGCTACAAAGTGAGATAGGCTGAGATGCATAAATGAGCCAGGCTAGACGCACATCAAATGAATGACCAATTTTATCTGGGGAATGTTGGCCAGGAAACTGCGAGAAATTTCCTTGTCTTTTGAAATAGTGCCACGAAATCTTTAATATCCACTTGAACAGACAGACAAGACCTCAGGTTTAATATTTCATCCGAAAGCCAGCATCTACAACAATGCAATGCTTCACTAGCACTGCATTCAAATATTATACAGAATATGAGCTTAAAGTCCCAACATATGTGGCTTGAAACCACAACCTTCTGACTCAGAGGAGAGAATGCTACCAACTGAGCCAAGCTGACACACTAATGACATTTTGCCCCATGTACTGGAGTACTGCCATTCTCCACCCCCTCTTGATTCCAAATGTCAGGCAACGTCTCACCTGAGGTGGTATGCTGGATCGAGAACTGTCCGCCCAGACCACTTCAACTTTACCAGCAACATCCACACGAGCCACCTGACCAACAGAAGGTTCCTAAAATAAAATACAAATCAATTTATGCATTTATCATCATTTATCATCAAAACCTCATCTTTCTCCACTGGGTAAAGAACAAGGCTGGATCCATAGACGGTCCTATTTTCTAACCACCATTATTCTCCATCTATCATACCCTCACCCATTTCCACCATCATCATATACTAATATATGTTTCAAAATTCAAAGCAATTCACCATCTCCTTGCCTTCCTGACAACTTATTCCAAACATTCACTATCCTGTCAGTTCACTTTACTTCTTCTAAGCTTCAGATCTTGTGGACTTCTTAACCAGATTCAGCACCAACATCACACATTTATTTCAGGTAGGATATCATAGAATCACACAGCACAGAAAGAGGCCATTCAACCCATCGTGTCTGCGCCGTCTCCGAAAAAAGCTTCCAACTCAATCCCACCGGCCCGCTTTCTCTCCATAGCCCTGCAATCCTGTCCTCCCCAAATATCCATCTACTTCTCTCTTAAAAGTTGTTATTGAATCAGCTTCCACTACCCTTTCAGGCATTCAGATCCGAACAACTCACTGGGTGAAAAAAAAATGTCCCAGAGTGCTTTACAAAGGTGGATGCCAAGCTGGAGAGAGAAATGGACAGAAAGGACTATCAAGAAACAAAAACAGAGAGAGCTTGGAAAACTCAACAGATCAGGCAGCATCTATGGAGAAAGGAAAGTGAGTCAAAGTTTCGGATCCACAACCCTTCTATTAAGAGTTCAGGTTTTCCTCTGCTATTTTAGATCCAGTATCCACCCACCAAAAGCTCAGACGCCTCATCCAATACATCAATCTGGTTGCGGTTGTGTAATTCAAGGCCATATCTACTCCAAAAGCACAGATTTATACCCAAAATTTCAGGAGAGTTTGGACCAATGCTGCACACTTGCCTAATATCATTTCCCTTACTCACACTCAAACCCTCTAGCTATACATCCTAAAATGCTGTCTCACTGATGTCACATACTACATTGATGTGTTGTCTTCACTAGTAGATGCTTCTACTGGGTGTCCTGGAGGCCCCTACTCAGCAGACATTCCCACTGCTTATTCTCTAGTTCAGTTTCTCAGCAGAGCTACTCAGTCTCCAGATACTCCTGCATTTCGTTTGGCCGTCACTTCCCTCCTTCCCCACTTCCCCCATTATTAGCAACTGATTTGGTAGTCATACTCGCGTGGTCTTGGTAAAAAAAACGCTTTTATCACACTTCATCACCGCCCACTTGGTGTCTGAACCCGTCCTTATGAAGTACTCAGATGTTATCCTATGTGAAGGGTACAAAATAAAATGCAAGCTGTTGTTGAACACAGACGAGCATGCAAGGTGGTTTAGACCCATGCAAAATGAAAGATAGTAGTGTCCTGGAGTTGAGGAAGGGCTCTAACCACTAAGCTACAGGACTCCACGGGACAGTATCTAGGAGTCACTCATTCCCAACTTTCTATAACTGAATTTGAACTTTCTGCTTTTCGGGCAATGTATGGAAGTTACGAGAGATGAGCTGCTAATAGACAGGTTGCATTGTAAGAAAGGGTTAAATGAGGCATCACTTCTTTTTTACTGAATGAACAAATATTAACACATTATTAAATGAACACAAATATTAAGCCTCAGACTGTCTATGCACTTCCATGTCCACTGCGTGTCTAATTGCAACAGCTTCCAACCAGTCCACACTCTTCCCCGCAAAAATACAAAACTGAAGTTTTTCCAGTCTTGCACACCCAGAGAAAGAAATTACCACTTTTTCTTTGCCTGTGGCCTGCCCTTCTTCCACATTGCCGATGTAAATGACGATGTCAGTGATACGGAAATGGAAATCCGGATGATCCGCGATGTCGTATACACTGATATCCTCTTCGTGTCCAAACATCTACAATTATAAAATGTATTTTACTACAAGTCCGGGGCACGTGGGAAGAAAATTTTAATTTAAAAAAACATGAATTATGCAAAAGAATGCCACTGCTATGCATGTAGGTAATTAGGATGGCTAGAATGAAGAATGGCTAGTAAGGTAATCCTGCAAGTGATCTAAAATTCCATTAAGGCTGGAAAAGTGCAGCAAGGGAGCATTTGACCTGGGAGCCTCGTTTGTAAACACTTACAGGAATATTTAGTGGTGTGTGTCCACCCACAGTTTTGAGACCTAATCAGATCTCTGATCCCAAAGATCCTTACCCAATAAACATTACCAAATATACCAAGCAAAAGTTCACCATTTTCATTAAAGTTACAATTCCTCACCTCAATCTCAGTCCCGTTTGAATTTGGTTTGAACCACTTTACTGAGCAGGTCCGACCAATATGATCAACTGACTGCACAACCCCGTAGACACCAACAAATGGAGGGCCTGGAGCTTGCAGGAAAGAGCAGATGGTAAATTAGTGCAAATGGAATAACTAAAGCAATAAAGGAAGAGTGAGGATTTATTAGTGCTGGTTTCATTCACATAAAACAGCAGCATCTTCATCAGGAGTCAATTTCCTTCACACCAACATAGGTACAACAGGGACAAGAATTCTAGTTGATTTGTTTCACTCCCTAACCTAAGGAGTTCTATTGTAGACTCTACACATTTAGTAACTCCAGAGATTCGGGATCAGACCCCGCTCATTAAAGGTAGTGGTTTTATCAACTAAGCCGTCCTCAGAAATAACTGAGAAAGCACTACCAAGATCATTCAATAAAATTAAGCTATGTTAAATTATGAATTTGTGACCCTTGAGTTTAGAATACATGATCTCATTCTAGCCTTCCCACCATGTGGATCTTTGATGCATTAGGTTCTGTATATGTAGACTTCTACCAAAGATTGAAGAACGCGTTGGTTTGCTTTATAAAGGGTACATTTTGCTTGCCTTTTCAGGCAACCAGCACTTACAACGTTTATCAACCACAAAGTCTCCAGGACAAAACTCATTATTGTCCACATGATGAACAGGCAGCAAGTCATTTGAACGAATGATCTTCTCCACAGTCCCATCTTGCCACATCACATCCACAGTAGTCCCTGTTTTCAGAATCTCCACAGCAATCCTAGAAAAGGAAAACAGCAATTATTATCGGAAAACTTGACCTTATGGCTACTCCCACCACCACCACACCCCCCCACCATGTGAAAACATTAGGTTTACCCATTATTGCTCTGCTGTATCATTGGCTACACTTGCAAACAACCCAGCAAGCAAGATGTGCTAAACCTCAACCACAGTCAACCACCAGTCCAACTACTTTGCTGCTGCCATATCAGCACCATCTTGCCACCCTCCCTAATCTTCTGGCCACAGGGGTTGCTCACCTATCCCCTGGTTTGAATTCTCGGGAGGGTTTGGTCTTTTTCTTCTTGTGCTTCTTCTTTAGGTTTTTGATAGACAAAGGGATGCTTTTCTTGCGTCCTTGCCCACCACTCTGTGATGATGCAGTGGAACTTGCAGAAGAGGTGACTGAGCTGGTGTCATCTGTATCTTCCGCTGCTTCATCATCTGCATCTTGTTCTATTAGCTGCAGCTTCCCGCCCTGATGGTATTGCAAAGAATCTGGTGTCGGCATTACTAAGGGCTGATCAGTATGATTCAAGTTACCAACTCTCACCACATCATCCAACGGCTTGTCTACCTCAATCTCACTGGCATTAGCAGACACTGATCCATTGGTTAAAGCCATCTCTTTTACTGTGGTACCGTTTAAAGACTGCAACTTGTGTTCCATGGCCACTTGAGTTGTACCTTCCCAACCTAGTCTTGGTTTGAAGTTCAGCCCGAAAGCAGTTGAGGTAACCATGACAGAACCATCTCCCAAAGCAACTGTGTACTTTTCAGATTGGTCAGTTTCCAGAGGATCTGTGCTGTTCACCAGCTCTTTCTCAAATAGTCGTTGAACCTAATTAACACAGGAAAAAGCTGCTGTAGGTCAGTCTCAAAAGCACCAAATAAGTCAGATAATTTGAACATTGGTATTGACAGTCCTTAAAGCTAATTAATTACAGAATTTAAGACTGATTTTTTTTTAATACACCTGTGCAAATTTAGAACAGGCTGACTTACTTCACTTGGGTAATTAATGTTTTAAAGCAATGTAAATATTATCTTGTTTTAGATTTAGCATGAAAAATTCTACCAATCACTACTGCAGTCCTCAGCAGTAGTCACCTGCGATTAATTACCTGCCTTAGCAACAGTATCTCCATACTGAAGTTACCTTTCTGACAACAGAATTCACAGCTATGATAGAATTTCCTTCTGGACCATCTGAAGAAATTGGAGCACATTCAGGATCACCAGGGAGCACATAGATTGCTCGCTCTGCGAGAACCATGCGAGCATGATCGTAACAATTCAAGCGCTTCACCCTAAAGAGAAGCAAAAGAGATATGGAGCGTCTTTCCAAATGGAAGTCATTAATTTCTTTGCAGAGAAAAAGTAAGCAGTCATTACTCAGTGGCTCCTGCTTTGAGATATGTTGTGTGACAACATAACATTACACTGAAGCTCCAATATAAAATGCAGGTACATAAACCCCCTGGCTTATCGGATTCCAGGTATCTGAATTCATACCTGGCTCAAAGCTGAACATTTTTTCTTAAATTCTGTGAATCATGTGTAGATTCCCCCAGCCCCCACTCCTCTCACGCATCCCCACCTTACAGTGGCCTTCAACGGCCAGGGATACCAATTTGATTCAGTTTGAATCCAATTCATACAATCTACCATGCCAGCAGTACCAGCATTTATTGTCCATGAAAAAACCCTTAGCCAGAAATTCCAGCTCGCCAGACCAAATCCCCCTGCCCATTAGTCCGACCAGCTGGGATTTTAAGCTGCTGCTTAAAATTAGGAATGTAATCAATCTTCCCCTATGTCACAATTCACAAGGAGTTTTGATGGAGTTGACCTCCAAACACCACCTCTCAAATTATTGTTTGTAAAAGTGCAAATCCATTTCTTTGGTGGTCAGCTTTTAAACTACAATAAAACAAAATGCACCCTTCATAGTTTCCCACTATAACTGCTTTGTTGTCCATCAAGTGACTGAGTGGAAGTGTCTCAGCCATACATTGCAGGCATCAGCCTGGCTAGAATGGTGGTTTGGTGCACTTTAGAAATACTGCCCATGTCATACATGACAGTTACATACATTAGTATTTAATACCCTCATCTGTTATGCCAGTTGATGCAACACAGGCAAACCAAGAAACACCACAAGGAAACTGGAGCCCAGAATTGTAAGAGGCATTCCTGACAATTGACCTACTCTAGGTTAAAATTACATAAATATTCTATGGAAAGGCATGAAACTAGGAACATGCTTCCTGGGGCAATATAATCTTCTATATAACCACAGTAGAAGTCTTACCTGGGCAGGTGCTCTTGCGTAATGATAGGAGATGGAGGATAAACACTTTCATTGCCACCAAGACAAAAGCTCTTGGTTATCCAGGTAACTCGAAGCTCCAACACTTGAACCTCCACAAATAAAGATAGAACACACCAAGTCACTTTGACTGACAACAATCTGCTTCAAGGCTAGATTTTCATTCTTATTTTTAAGATTCTATCAAGTTACTGCATTACAATCAGGTTAAGATTCTACTTAGTTTAAGTTGGAAAGTGAAGGTGATTCCCAACCAATTTCTTGTAGTTTTCTTAATATTATTCATTTTGGTTCCTGTGATCATCACCTAGATCTGCTCCATTTCAGCCAGGATTAAGCACTGTTTTTCAGGCAAATCTACAATGTTATATCCCATTTCACTTGTAGTGCCTTTCATGAAGGTGAAAATCTCCAAGTGGTTTACAAAAACAAAGTGGAAGCCTGAAATGGGAGATGGCCAAAGGTGTAGACAAAGTTTTGAAGACTGTAAGGTAAGGGAAGACCATGACCATTTGAAGACAAAAACTTAAAAAAGTGGATGCAATGGGGGATAGGAAGCCTGTGGGGCTTCATGCAGCAAATAATGTGGGTTGCAAAATTCTAGATGATTTGGAGCTTGTGAAGAATGTAGCTGGGGAGGCTGAAAGCAGAGCATTGGAGAATTCAAATCTAGAGATGAGCAGTGAGTTGAGGGTAGAGGCATAAAGAACATGAAAATAATCCTGTATAATAAACTAATCCTTTCACCCATATTTTTCTTTCTTTCATACAAATCATTCACTCACCTCTTCAACAACAGCTTTGAACTTGCTCTTTTTGCTTAGCACTGGTCTGACCCCAGAGAGCCACTGAACACTCGAGAAAACTTTTGCTGCTCCGAAAAGCATTTGTCCAGGATAAAACCCGTAGGATTCATCAAAGAAAAGCCCCTAAACCAAACATACATGAAAGGTAATATCAAGTTCTACATTAATCACTTTACACTACACAATAGAGTGCTGCGTTTCATAAAAGCCCTTCAGTGCTGATTGGGAGCCCAAGTGACTTGGGGATTGGGGGAGCTGAAGAAAAGGGGGAGGTGGCTTTTTAATAACACAATTTATTGCACAATTTAATTATAACTTTTTCTACAGTGGACTACATTTACAGGGCATGCATGCAGTTCAGTCCCCCTCGCTTCCTGCATAGTGGTTTCACACTAGAATACCTGATTTTTGATCACCAATCAACACTGTTAATAATAAAAAGTAATTTCTGCTCATGGAAATGGATTAGTCAAATTTACAGATGTTTGTATAGAGAAACATTCCCTTGTCCCCCTGAAATCCAGGACAATCTACAAACCTACCCGCTCCCCCTGGTACAATCATCATCTCCCCTCCCTCAAATCCCAAATCCGGTAGCTCAAGCGCAGGTGGCACAAAACTGGCCTCACTGTTCACTGCTAACTGTGGCTCAAGCATCTTCATAACTTCCACTGTCCCCTCTCAAGTCCAAACCGCCTTCACAGGTTATTTTCGAGGCCAAAAAAATCCCTAAAATCCTGTTCCCCACAATCCATCACCTCCTCCACAGCCCCTTCGAGCACAAGCAATCCTCAACTCAGATGCCAAGTGCGAAGAGGTCCTGGGACTTCTTTATCTCCCAAGAATGGCAACATCCACCTGGCTGCCTCCTCCTCCTCCCTCACCCCTATGTCATTTACCAACTCTCCCCATGCCTCCTTCACCATTCTCTTCTCCTACCACGGCACACATCCTACACTCATTTACCCCCATCACTCCCACCTCCCTTTCCCCCACCATCACGAAGATGAAACCCACCACCTACTGCCTTGACACCCTCCCAACACAGCTTCTGGTCACCCAACTCCCCCTCCTCTGCCCACTGCTGGTTGACACAATCAACCAGTCCCTCTCTTCATGCTCTGTCCTACTCCCCCTCAAAACCCATCATCAATCCTTTCCTTAAAAACCTATCCTTGATCCCTCACTGCACAGATGTTAGGTCCAATCAAACCATGCCCTTCCTGGCCAAAGTTTTGGACCGTGGGGTTGCAACTTAGCTTCACTCACACCTCTCCCTCCACTCCCTACTCAAACCCCTCCAGTCCGGTTTTCGCTCTGTTAACTATAGAGCAACAAATGACGTCCTCTTTCTCTTGACCAGGGCTCCCTCTGCCCCCTGGACCTCTCCGCCACATTTGATACAGTTGATCACACCTCTCCTTTCTCATCCACCTCAGTGGGACCGCACTCGCGTGGTTCCACTGAGGTCCCACTTAACAAACCGTCAACAATACATCTCTGCAAATGTTTTTTCCTCTCGCCTCTGCCCGGTCACTTGCTGGGTACCCCAAGACTCCATCCTTGAACTCCATCCATTCTTTTCCTTATCTACACGCTCCCTCTCGGCGATGTCATCCGAAGACATGGGGTCAACTTCCACATTCCTGTGGATGACACCCAAATCTACTTCTCCTCCTCCAGCTGCAACGCCCAGGCCGTTGATGTCCTGTCAGCTTGTTTGATGGACATCCAAGCCTGGACAAGCGCAAATCTCCTGCAGCTGAATGTCGGCAAGATGGAAGCCATACTCATTAGCTCCCGTCAACGCCTTCTCTCCTGCGGGTCCAAACTCCTCAACCTCCCCGGGCTCTCCCTCAGACTCGCTGAATCCGCGAACAATATAGGCATCCGGTTCAATCCCCAGCTTTCCTTTCTACCCCATATCTGTTCCCTGTCCAGGACCACTTTTTCCCACCTCTGTCACATTGCCCGCCCTCGGTCCGTACCTCAGAACCAAAGCAGCCGAAGCCCTCGTCCGTGCCTTTGTCACTTCCCGGCTGGACTATTCCAATGGCCTCCTCGCTGGTCCCCCCAGCTCCACCATACACAAAATTCAAATAATTCAAAACTCCGCCGCCCGGATACTCATCTGCACAAAACTATGTCCCCCATCACCGCAGTCCTTGCCAGGCTCCACTGGCTCCCAATTACTGAACAGTTCGACTTCAAGATCCTCTTACTCGTATTTCAAATGCCTTCGTGCCCTCGCACCTCCCTACCTTTCCGACTTGCTCACCCTCCACTCCACCATCCACTGCCTCTGCTCGGCCGGCTCTGGCCTCCTGTTCGTCCCTTGTCCCCTTAACCATCGGTTGCCACCTTTAACCACTATGCACCAAAACACCCTCCCTCAATCCTTCTGCCCCGTCCCCTCCCTCCTCAAATCCCACCTTTTTGATCGTGCTTATGGTCACCTCCTCCCCCCACAACCCCCCTTGCCCAGGGTCAGAATCCACCACTGTCAAGTGCTCCAGGATGCTACTCCTATATAAATGCAAGTTGTTGTTTAGCAGACGCACAAGTATATTAACAGAAGGAAAATGTGATGACATGAACTTGCTCCAATATGCACTGTCCCATTCAGATAATTTTCTTACCGAGTCACTGACATGGGGACAAAGATCAACCAGCTTACTGCCGTCAGTGGTATTCATCAAACATCTAAGAAAGAAATACAGTAGATAGTTACTAGGTACATTCAAAGTTATAATAATCCTTGCATTTGATACACTTTACGATTGGAATTCTCAAAATACACTGAGACATTTGCTCTTAATGTTATCTAATTGCTAAAATAAAGAGAATTATTTTTTTAATTATTTTTAATTAAATTTTATTAATCTGTCTTCCTACTGAGACAGCCTTGGTCAAAGTCACTAACAACATTCTCTCGGTTAGTGTCTAGGCTCCTGGGGCCTCCTCAATCTTTGCCACCTTTGACCCGGTTGACCTTTGCTCCTTCCCCATCTCCCTGATTCACCTCTGAGGTTATGCACTTGCCTAATTTCACTCCTACTGATGTACGTGGATGAAACCCATCGCTACCTTTCTGCCTTTAGCCTCTATGACTCTGCTGTTCTGATAAGACCATATATCAGACTTGATAGTCCTGGATGAGAAAACAACTTTGTCCAGCTCAACATAAGCAAAATTGAAGCTCTCCTGCCCAATTCTCATCAGCAGCTCCTCACTTCAGGCCCAAAGTGTATTGACCTCCCAGTTGCTCACTCCAATTCAGTTTGTGCAAAACCTCAGCATTTTCTTTGACTTTCAACTCTCCTTCAAATTTTTCATCCCAGCTCTAACCAAGTTTACTTCCTTCCATCTTTGCAACATTGCATGCCTCTGCGGCTACCTCAGCTCCATTACAATTAAAGCCCATATCCAAGTCACCTACAGACTCAACTTCTCTAATGCCTTGCTCAGCAGCTTTCACAATTCCACCCACCAAACTCCACACTACACAGAATTTCATAGCCCATATTCTCTTGCACAATAGGCTCTATGAACACTTAGCCCCAGTCTAGTCCAGCTCCAATAGCCAACTATCCCTCCAGCTAATCCTAGTCTTCATCTACAAATTTCTTCAGTGTTGCACTACCCTATCTCTGCAACCCTGCTCCCCCAAACACTCTTTCCTCTCCACCAATACCAGCCGCCTTTGTGTCCTCAACCCCTGCCCCATCAGCAGGTATTCCCTAGGCCACTTGACAACTCCCTCTGAAACTTTCTCCCACATTCCCTCCATGTTGTTCTTTCCCTCTCTGCTTTCAAATCTCAATTGAGGACCTTTCTAACACTATTTTCAACAACCTCTCCCCATCCTGTCTGGTTTGTAAAGTGATTTGAGACTTGCTCCCAACAAGAAAAGGGCTGAATGACTGTAAATTGTAATGGTTCCAAGACTAATTTCAACCCGTCTATATAACTTGCACCGATTCAATTTATAACATTTCAATTCAAACATCAAGTAAGTCAGCTCCAAATAACATTTATTTGCTTCTATAGAAAACTTCACACACTAACTCTAAAAGTTTAGCAGACGGGCAACATTGGTGGTTTGAACCATTCTTTGTTTGAGTTCTAACCTATACATATTGTAAACAAACCGCCACGAACATCAAATGCCACAAACCATCAATGCCCATAGCTATTATTAGTTATCTAATCATTTTTAATAATTATTTAATAAGTGAATTAAATGGTAATCTCCACCTTAATTAAAGCTGCACTCTAAAATGAGTCATCTCTTTCCCTCTTCTCTGATGTAGCCATTAACTCCTCCATCCCCTTCCCTGCCATGCACCCCACATGCATTTCCTATTGTCCCTGGGGAAAAATTCCCCTCCATGCCATCTCTGCTGCCCTGGAGGCATCTGAACTCCTACCCCTCTGGCCCTCTTTCGGTCACCCTTCTGAACAACTCCCTCTCAGTCATTCTCAATACCCTTGCCCCTGTCATCTTCTGCACCGCCTCCTACTCACACACGTCCCCCCGGTACACCAGCCATCCCTCCTCCCTCAAATCTCAGGTGCACACCACCAAGTGCATCTGACAGAAATCCAGATTAACAGTTCGTCAGATCTGGCAGGACTGCACCAAGATTTACGGTTCTGCCCTCGCCTCAGCTAAGTCATCCTTTTATTCCCAAATCATCTTGGAAACGAAAGACAACCCCAGACTCCTCTTTTCTACCATTAACCAACCCCTCTGTGCACCCTCCCATGCCTCTGCAATCCTCTCCCCAACACCAAATATGAAATGATGGATTTCCTTGAGTCCCAAGTCAAGGGAATCCACTCTGCTGCCTCTACCCCCTCTACTGCTACCCTGTCCCCACCTCTAGCTCCCCTTCCAGCTCGCCCCCCCCCACCTCTCCTTCCACATTTTTGACCCCATATCCCCCTCTTAGCTCACCTCCATCATTTCCCGTATGAAGCCAAACACCTGCTCCCTTCACCCCATCCATACTCCTCTCCTCACTTCCCAACTCCACCTCCTTGCCCCCTACTAACGGTTCTCGTTAATCTCTCTCTGCCCACCAATTGGCACCGTGCCCATCCACCTCCGCACCTCAGCCAATGACACAATCACCATTCATGGCTGCACTCTTCACCTCACCAAGCTGAAACAGCGGTGTCCTTTTTGACCCCCAGTTATCCTTCAAACCCACATTTGTGCTGTGACCCGTTCCGCCTTTCCCCGCCACCACCACTGCCTCTCACCACAGGTTGCAATCACCCCCAACCTTGCCCGGCTTCACTGGCTCCCCATTCCTCAAAGGATAGAGCACAAAACCTCATTCGCATCTTCAAAGTCCTCCATGGTCTTGCTCCTCCCTACTTCTGCAACCTCCTAACCCCATATCAGCCTGTCCACTCCCTCTGCTCGGCAGGCACTGGCTGTTTCAGGTCCCCCGCATTTCCCTCCCACCATTGGTGGTCGGGTATTCAGCATCTGGAAATCTATTCCACAATCCTTCCGCCTCACCCCCTCTCTTGCCCCCTTCAAGTCCCATCTAAAGATCTTCCTCTTTGAACGTGCCTTCAACCATCCTCCCACCCCACCCTCAACTCCTTCTGACCCCAACTCCCAGCTCGGGTCCCAAACCCAATTATCCAGCGCCTTGGGACATCTTTCCAATGTGAAGGGCGCTATACAAGGATAATTTGTTGTTTTGACATAAAAGTATTGTCCCAGAGCCAAGTAAAAAGAGTAAACATCTAACTGTGTTGGAATCAGAAATATTATTGCTTAAATAAATTGCTGTACCTTCAATTAAACCCAAGCAAGTGATGTTCATTTACTGCTTATTACTTCATGGGCTTTCATATTGTCATTACCCCCCAACATTGCTATATTGCTTGTCATAACCCTGCCTATTGTAACTATGTTATTGAACCTAATGCAACTTTTCTGCCTTATTAAGTAAATGCCCGATTAGTTAAGTGGTTCCTCCATTCACAGGTTCCTGATATAAAATTGACTAACAGATTAAGCTGGTTTTGTCTGGTCACAGCCTTTGTCCCAGCTTTAATAGCAAACAGTCCCAATTTATAATATAAATAACACAATCTCTTCGAGGAGGTCTATCATCTGTCATAGACAAAGAAACTCCTTTCATGCCTCTGTTGTGAAACTTTATTTTTTATTCACCAATAATGCAGTTGTATGCATAAGGCAAATGAATGAACATTTGATACCTGGCTCCATTCGATAGCTTCAGGACCAGCTGAGCCAGCAGGTTGTCCACTTTCCCCAGCCAGCAATCATAGGCAATATAGTCACCGTAAGTGAATGGCTAAGGAAGAATATTTACAGTAAACATGCGTCAGTTAGCACAAAAATACATGGAAAGGTAAAGATAAATTGCTGCATTTATGTCACAAGTCAAAAGCTCATTAAAACAATTCCCAACTCTAAATTTGATCAAGGCACAAACTCAGAATAATCACAAAACAAAACTTATAGTTAGAAAAATATAGCTTTCTTCAGAGGGTAGTTGGAATGTAGAACTCTCAGACACAAATCCATAATTGAAACAGTTTGATTAATTAACTTAGAGAATTGTTGTTTGCTTGAAAAAGATTATTAAAAGATATGAAGAGCAAGCTTGGGCTTAGACAAGACAGTGCATGTGGACAAACATCAGTGTAGAAAAACACCAAAAGGCCTGACAATGACATTCTAGAATGCTATTAAACGGTTTCATGAAAATTGTTTAAAAAGACCTAATTACTTGAAGCCCTCAGAGAGTACATGTCACAATATCTACTTTGAGGGATTCACTCAATGTCACCAGCCAAGAACTAACAGAAAGAAAAGCAAAAACTACAGTGGAAGACAGATCGATCCAAAACTCTAACCCCTCTATTAGTTGCTGCACTGAATCCCTCACCCCAGTCAGTCTAACTATTCCATTGTGCGACACTACAGAGCGAGGCAACAGCAAAAGATGGTACAATCTTAAAGGGAGTGAAGGAATAGAGAGACCTGGGGATTCATATAAGTAAATGGTGAAGGTGCCGGACAGGCAGATAAAGCTGTTAAAAAAGCATACGGGATACTCGGCTTTATAAATAGAGGCATAGAATAAACAAGTCAGGATGTTATGATGAACCTTTATAAATAATAATAAAACACTGCTTAGGCCTCAGCTGAAGACTTATTCAGTTCCCCACACTTTAGGAAGAATGTCAAGGCATTGGAGAGTGTGCAATGGAGATTGACGAGGATGGTACCAGGAATGAGGGGCTTCAGTTATCAGGGAGGCGAGAGAAGCTAAGATTATTCTCCTGGGAGCAGAGAAGGTTAAGAGACTTAATGGAAGTTTTCAAAGATGAGGGGATTCGATAGGGTGAACAAGGAGAAACCATTCCCACTGGAGGGTGGGTCAGTAACCCGAGGACACCGATTTAAAATAGTTGTTGAAAGAAACAGAGTGCAGGTGAGGAGAAATGTTTTCACACAGCGAGTTGTTGAGATCTGGAATGCATTGCCTGAAAGGCTGGTGGAAGCTGATTCGATAACTTTTAAGAGAGAAGTAGATAATTATTTTGGGAGGTCAAGTTTGCAGGGCTATGGGGCGAGCGCGGGGCTGATGGGGGCTACGGGGCGAGCGCGGGGCTGATCGGGGCTACGGGGCGAGCGCGGGGCTGATCGGGGCTACGGGGGGCTGATCGGGGCTACGGGGCGAGCGCGGGGCTGATCGGGGCTACGGGGCGAGCGCGGGGCTGATCGGGGCTACGGGGCGAGCGCGGGGCTGATCGGGGCTACGGGGAGAGCGCGGGGCTGATCGGGGCTATGGGGAGAGCGCGGGGCTGATCGGGGCTATGGGGAGAGAGCGGGGGAGTGGGGGAGATCAGGGCTATGGGGAAAGAGCGGGGGAGTGGAGCTGATCAGGGCTATGGGGAGAGAGCGGGGGGAGTGGGGCTGATCAGGGCTATGGGGAGAGAGCGGGGGGAGTGGGGCTGATCAGGGCTATGGGGAGAGAGCGGGGGGAGTGGGGCTGATCAGGGCTATGGGGAGAGAGCGGGGGGCGTGGGGCTGATCAGGGCTATGGGGAGAGAGCGGGGGGAGTGGGGCTGATCAGGGCTATGGGGAGAGAGCGGGGCTGATCAGGGCTATGGGGAGAGAGCGGGGGGAGTGGGGCTGATCAGGGCTATGGGGAGAGAGTGGGGCTGATCAGGGCTATGGGGAGAGAGCGGGGGAGTGGGGTTGATCAGGGCTATGGGGAGAGAGCGGGGGAGTGGGGCTGATCAGGGCTATGGGGAGAGAGCGGGGGAGTGGGGCTGATCAGGGCTATGGGGAGAGAGCGGGGGAGTGGGGCTGATCAGGGCTATGGGGAGAGAGCAGGGGAGGGGTGTTGATTTGGAAGCTCTTTTCAAAGCCCTGGCACAGACACGAGGTGCCAAATAGCCTCCTTCTGTGGTGTATAATTCTATGATTCACACCTCCATCTCTCTGATTTCACTTTCTAAATGACATCCAGGTAATCCTGCCTCCAAATATGAAAGCTTTTCAAAATGTGGGACTTCAATTACAGCAAATGATACACATTACACCAGAGGAGGCATCCACTGGGGTCTATCGAGCCTCTGAGGCACTTGGCATTAGGAAGGCTGAGTTGGCAGCATGTTCCCCTCAGAGTCAGAAGCTTGTGGGTTCAAGCTCCATGTTGGGACTTCAAACTCAAAATCCAGGCAGAGTATACAGAGACTTCTATTAAGAGAAAATGGATTAGCTAAACCAGACATTACTTGCTATATATTAAGTGCCGTACACGGCTTCGAACACCTTGTCTCATCCCATACAACACATTATTAGGCTATAAAACAAAGAACACAAACCAAAATCAGGGACAGCTTTGTAATTTTCTAAACCTTTCTGAGCCACTTACCCAGATATGTAGTAAGTCTCTACTGTTGACAGGGTGGAGGATATAATTTGTTCCCAAGATTTTTAATGTACATTCCATATTCACATCCACCACCGTTCCACATTGGCTATCCTAGGAAATGACAGAATTTCAGGATATAGGATTGAAGTGATGTTCCAGATGTTTACATCCATGCTGTGTTAGTTTGTGTGTGCATATATTATATATAATATATAAAGAGCTCCAGATAGTTTCAGTTGCAAAAGTAGGGAGGTTTAACAATAACTTGCATTTATAAAGCACCCTTCATGCTGAATAGTGTCTCAGAGCACTTTACAGCGGCAGAGCCTGATGCTGTGCCAGGGCGAGGGGGGAAATGACCATAGGCACGATTGAAGAGGAAAGTCTTCAAGGGCAACCTGAAAATGGGGAGAAAAGGCGAAGGGAGAGTTCCGCAGCTTCGCGGTGTAGTGGCTAAAAGTATGGCCACTGATGGTAGAATGGAGGGTCCGGGGAACAAGGAGGAGGCCAGAGGCAGCAGGTAGTGGTGTAGGAAGAGAGCAGGTTAGAAAGATGTGGGGGTGCCAGGGCGTAAAGGGATTTAAATGCAAGAGTGAGAATCTTTAAATCAATCTGCTGTGACAGGGGCCAATGGAGTTTGACAAGGACTGGGGTAATGGAGGTACGGTGTCTAGTGCAGGTGAGAATGTGCGTGGTGGAGTTTTGAATTGGTTGAGTTTTATGAATAGTGGAGCAGGGGAGACCAGCGAGAAGGGCATTTGAGGAGTCGAGGCTTGAGGTGACGAAGGCATGGGGCAAGATGTGAAGGGGTTTCATGGTCAGGATGAAGCAGCAGAATTTGGGAGAAACTGGAAGTTAGGGAGAGTAGAACTAGGAAGGCTATTAGTAAAGGATTACAGAAACATAGCCTTAAGGCCCAAAATAGTGCAAAAACATTTTTTCTCATATGAGTAGCTTTTGATGCAGAAGGTTGAAGACAGCTTGCCAGTAAACACTTCTTGAAAATGTTTTAGAAAAAGAACATCTCTACATTTGGTACTAAACTACTCAAAGCAGGAATAGTAATAATGAAAAGGTAGAAATCCAATACTATACATTTGTCCACAATAGTGAAAACTAGGGCAGAAGATCCCGCTACAGAAATGCAACATTTGTGTATACTGTGTGTATACTGTGTCTGTACAGTAAAACTCATAACTAAAATAATAATAATTTGGTCGCTCAACCCACAACTGTTTGTGGGGACACTGCTGTGCGCAATTTCCTGCCGTGTTTCTCCCATAAAATATACAGTCACCACATATTACAGTATATGCTGTGAAGCGTTTTGAGACGTCTAGAAGATGTGATAAGGCGCTGTATCAAATGCCAGAATTATTATTATTATAACTCATATCAGTTGGGACCGTAACAATTAATATGACTTATGCAAAGTATGAGTTACAGCAAACTTGCATAAGTCAAATGTTATATGACTTATGTCAAATTGTGTATAAGTCGGATTTTACATGCTGGCGGTCTCCCCCTCATCCTCACTCTCAATCACTCTTCCTCTCTCTCTTTGTTTCTCTTCCCCTCAATCACTTTCGCTCTCTCAATTACTCTCTTCCCCCCTCTCTTTCACACTCCCTCCATACACACTCTTTCCCCCTCTCTCACACATTCTCCCGTCTATAATCTCAACAACAACAAACAGTCAGGGGTGGAGTGAGTGGAGAATAGGGGGTAGGAGGGTGACCGAAGACACTGTTGAAGAGGAGGGTCTCGCTCTGTATAGATATATATATAGTGGGTTCAATAGAAAAGTGAACAGGACTTGGCAGGATTTAAGCAATTATACGATTTATACAGATCAGACTTCTACAAGTTTTACTGTATACCTGTAGCTCAGTGGTTAGAGCACTCGCTTTGCAAGCAAGAGACCTGAGTTCAATTCCAGGCAGAGGGCGAAACCTTGGGCAAGTTTCCTTCCTCCACAGACCTAATAATAATCCCTCCAAAAAAAAATAATAAATTGGTCATTGGTCAAATACATGACTGTTTGTGGGACATTGCTGTGCGCAATTGGCTGCTGCGTTCGCCCACAAATATACAGTCAATTCACTTTACAGTATATTCTGTGAAGCGCTTTGGGAAGTCTAGAAGACGTGAAAACCGCTGTATCAAATGCAAGGATTAGTATTATTATTATTATAACATCACACACTGCATTTTGAACAGGCTACATCTTGACATCTGCATCAAAAATGTGCAACTATGCATAAAGTCTTGCGAATGCTGATAATGCTGGTGATCAAAGGCTGCTCTGGACTAAATATTGCTAATGAAAGTAAGATTCCTAATTTATTCATGTATCAGAAGGACACTTTTCAAGAACAATCCAACAATGATATAGGGATTGGACTAGCTGTAATAAACCTAAACATTGGAAATAATAATCCTTGCATTTGAATATAGTGCCTTATCACGTCGTCGAGAAATGCAGATCACATTGTTCTATAGATCCATGGTTCCCCACACTTGGGAAGGACAAGTAAAGCTCTTCTTTAGGGGCTATCGAGCCTCTTGGATGTTGGAAGTACCTCAATCTTCAGTCAGCAGGGTCTTCTTGGAGCTGAACTGGCTCCAAGGTGACATGCCTGGCTATCAGAATCGAGCCAGCCCTTTGTGGCAGTCTCGGTAGTTTGGTTCCTGAGCAAAGCGGGTCCACAGTATTCCAGGGCACTGCTGATAACAGGACAGCCAGCCTGGCTCATCGGCAGGACCTGGAAGGGTAGACCAGTCACTCAGCTCCTGTTAACCCTGCAGCCAAAGCCATAACGGGTCAGGTTGTCCAAACTAGACAAGCATTGGGAAAGCTGGCTAGACAGCAATATTAATGGCAAGCTATGCAGTTTTAGCTGATGAGACTCCAGCAGTTATCCCAATTCACACCCTGGGCTCACCAAGCCTTGGCTCTTGCCAACCTGCGCCTAATACTTCCTGGAATTAGATAAGCAGGATGTATTCTCCAGGGAGAGAGACAAAAATGGTAGGAATTGGAGGTGGGGGTGGGAAAGCATTAAAAAAGGAAGGCGATAGTGAAACCCAAGACCTTTAAAAGCATTAAATACTCCATTTCGCACATTCTGGAAAACAAATTTTATCCATTCAATTGATTCAAATCCAGCAGAGGAAACTTACAGCATTTGGCCCTATGCGTCGCACCAAGTCACGAGGCATCAAGGAACGGTCTTCCAGTTTCAACTACAAGGAAGCAGAAAGCAACATTTTACTGCATTGTGTAATACTATGTAATAACTAAATATCTCGAGGACATTAATTCAGATTCCACTACAAGACAAAAAGGCATACAATAGTAACAATGGGATCCAGTGCTATCCTCCCAAAATGCAAGTCGCTATATAAATACAATTTTTCGTTCCTTCAATGACATGATAAAGTGCTAGATCAAATTACACACAACATAACTGTAAAGCAGGAAACCCAAGCGTAAAAATGTATGTTCCACATGGTAATAGCTTTCAGGTGGACAAATCCATACATAAATACTCAATTTAGGGCGGTGCACTGCGTCAGTATCCTACAAGTAGCCATTGTCTTTCAAAACCTGGTGAATGTAAAAGTTAGGTTAAGTACATACATTTCTAGAGAAAGGAGAGTAAAGAAGCATTTCAATGAATTATTCTTTGGAATAAAGTGTGTTAATGCACTTTTCCCTTTTTGAAAATACCTTTTCATTGGACTTAAATGTCTGACACACCTCTCATTTTTCACACCTGTGCTTCAAATAATTATATTTATTTGGGTTTTGTTTCTATGCCTCAACCCAAACACCATGCAGCATATTTCAGAGCACAGCATCAAATCCAAATTAAAACAGCTTATAATGCAGTCACAACTGTCACAAGGCAAAACAGTTAGCAATAATTCAAAAACTCCACAAGAGTTCCACCTTTAAAATTCATTAACTTGTAAGGTATTCACTACTGTACTAGATGGCTACAGTATTCTGTATTTGGAGTGCAGCCAATTCAAAGTTTGGAAATAATAGGGAGAAGGTAGCTCAATATGATCTAAGCAAAATGTTCAGAACTATCCATCCCATCAGCAGCATTTCGCCCACGAAATATACAGTCAATTCACTTTAGTGTATTCTGTGAAGCGCTTTGAGACGTCTTGAAGACATGATAAAGCGCTGTATCAAATGTAAGGATTCTTCTTCAGAGTGCATTACAGCCTTCCTTCCCATCAATAACAAGTACATTGTTCCTCTATCAATTGCGTCAGTCACAGCCAGTAATATTTCAGCAATACTGATGCAATCCTAGACCAGCACTTCTCAAATGGCCACAGGCAATTCTGGTTCCTGATAATAATAATAATATGCACATTTCAAATGTTTTCATTTGTTGTGTTGTTCGAGTGATTGACTGTCTTTGCAAGGTTTGGTGAATAAAGGGTTTTCTCAAATGTGGCCCGTCAAAAGTACAGAAACAAATGAAAATCATTTGAGATGTGCTTATGTCAATATTTCCTTTATTTTTTATATGATTAATTATTTTCAGAAAAAAAGCTATTGCGGCTCACCAGTAAGCACTGCTTTCCTCACACAAAAAGTATTATTTTCTCACATGTACACAGGCACATACAGCAATGAAACTGCCCAATAACTAACTTGAAAACAAGGAGTGGAAAAGTTTGAGTTCAGAATGATCAATTATATGCTGATTCGACTAAAACTTATTTCAGACAAGTAAGGTTAATTGCAATCTTAGAATAAAAATGTGTAACTTATTCACCAAAACCTTTAGCAGGCGGTGAGAATGCCACAGTTTACTGCAAGCACTGTATCACTCACCAAGTAACAATCTTAATTCCCTAATATCACAAATTTGTTCTGTTGCAACAGAATAAGTACGTGATTGCTTCCCTTTACAGGGAAATAAGAGTAAGGCTTAGAAACATAGGAACAGGAGGAGGCCATTCAGCCCCTCGAGCCTGTTCTGCCATTCTGGCTGATCTGTACCTCAAGTCCAGTTACCTGCCCTTGCCCCATATCCCTTAATACCCCAACCTGACAAATATCTAGCTATCTCCGTCTTGGATATGTGAATGGATCCCAGCATCCACAGCCTTTTTGGAGGGAGAGTTCCTTTTTGGTGAAAAACCACCTTCCAAATGCACTCCCAAATGGCCCAGGACTAACTTTCATATTCTGGCCCCTTGTCCTGGATTCCCCACCAGAGGAAATAGTTTCTCTGTAGCTACCCTATCGAATGCCTTTATTATTTTAAAAACCTCAATCAGATCGTCCCTCAACCTTCCAAACTCAAGCTTCAAGCAAATCACAGGACTGAAAATTATTTGAAATATATGTAAAGTCTGGTATTCAAGTATTTCATATGAAGATTCTACCTGACAATACATAAGATCAATGAAGAAATAAAGAATCAAGGAGGATGTTGTGTAGTTAATTAGGGAGAATATCCAGACTGAATTAGGTTGTTTTTTCTTCAGATTTCTAAGTATCAAAGATCCACCCGCATTGGCCCAGCTGTTAACCGTAGCATCCAGTATTATCCAAACCGCAATGTGCCAGCTATGTGAATGTGAGGCTCCTCCCAAGCTCTGCATTGCACAATAACAGTGCAGCTGCTCCTGGTACCTGAACAATGCAGCAGAACAGGGTCACAACAAGTCAAATTCAGCTCTCAACAAAGATGGACTTTCTAGATCGAGAATGCAAATCAGTTTCATTGTTTAAGCACGAGATAACTATGACAAGCAGAGCAACAAATGAGGAATGAATGTGAAGTCAGCATCACACACACAGCCCATAGGCTGATGTTGCACTTAATCGCCACACACACACACACACACAATGCCTGTGCATGTAGAACAGGGATCGGCAAAAGGAATTAAAGTTGCTTGATGTCAGAACCTTTAACATTCCCTTCCATTCTTTAAAAAGTATCTCCATCGAGAGAAGTGTACAACATATTTTTGATTTTTTTCTTAAATGAAACTCAAAAGAGAACTGCGGCTATGAATTTCTGGTACCAGTGACAGATGACTAGGCTTTTCAACAATCACTCACCCCGTGAGCATACAGTCATCACCGATCAATGAGGCAAAGTAATCAAAACAGCAAATAGAGCACTGGAATATACAGTCAAAACAGGAGTATACAACTTCCCAGCTGATGTACAGCCAGAAAAGGAATGCATGAGTTCAGGGATAAGGTGCAGTGCTGGAAGTATAGCCAGAACAGCAAGGTACAAACCTTCAGATGTAATGCTGGGATACACGATAACACATCCGATATTGCACCTACAAAGCCCAAACGTCTCAAAGTGCTTCAAAGATAATTGCTTTCAAATATTATGCATTTGTAAGCAAAGGTAGCAGGCAAATTATGGATAGCAAGATCCAACAAACAGCCATAAAATGAAGAGCAATCTGGATGATTTTACCCCAATCCCCTGCCCAATAGTGTCATGGATATCCATCCAAAAGCTGGCAAAAAGGACAAGTTTTTAAAGCGCTTTATCCAAAGTTCAGCACCTCAAATAGTGCAACTTCCCCATTTCTGTACTTGGGTGTCAGCCAACAGTGCGATCAAGTCCCACTTGAGCCAAAGTTTTTAAAGCTCCTAAAAATTAGTCAGAACCTCCTGTAATTCATAGAATTGTACAGCACAAAAAGAGGCCATTCGGCCCATCGAGTCTGTGCGGCTCTTTGAGAAGAGCAATCAATGTTAATCCCACTCCCCGGCCCTTTCCCCATAACCTGCAAACCCGCCCCCCTTCAAACACCCGCCCCCCCCCTCAAACACCCGGCCCCCCCCTCAAACACCCGGCCCCCCCCCTCAAACACCCGCCCCCCCCCTCAAACACCCGGCCCCCCCCCTCAAACACCCGCCCCCCCCTCAAACACCCGGCCCCCCCCCCTCAAACACCCGCCCCCCCCTCAAACACCCGCCCCCCCCCTCAAACACCCGTCCACTGCGTTTTTAAAAGTTCTCATCGAATCGCCTCGACCTCTTACACTGTGCTTCAATATCGTGGTTGTGAAGCGCTCCCGGACACGCCACCCGGACACGCCACCCGGACACGCCACCCGGACACGCCACCCGGACACGCCACCCGGACACGCCACCCGGACACGCCACCCGGACACGCCACCCGGACACGCCACCCGGCACGAAGGGCGCGATATAAATGCAAGTTGTTGTTGTGAGTGTATGTGGAGGTCACTATATAAATGTAAACAGTTATCTGATCCGTCTTTATTTTAGAGATTAAATTATTTGAGTTTCCTCAAAAAAATACTCCACTGAAAAACAACAACTCGCACAATATTTATTTATTTACACTTCACACGAATCGCTTCACAACTGCGCTGCACAACCGCACAGTGGAGAAAAGGGTCCAAGTGTCCTCTGCAGATAAGCAAACAGCGGACAACACGCAGCGCTTCAGCCTCCGGAGACCCCCCGCGGCCCCTCTCCCCCCTCTCTCCCTCCCCTCCCCTCCTCCCTCCTCTCCCCCCCCTCTCCCCCTCCCTCCCCTCCTCTCCCCTCCCCTCCCCCCCTCCCTCCTCTCCTCCTCTCCCCCTCCCCCCTCCTCCCTCTCCCTCTCCCCTCCCCCTCCTCTCCCCTCCCCCTCCCTCCTCCCCCTCCCCTCTCCTCCCCTCTCCCCCCCCTCCCTCCTCCCTCCCCTCCCCTCTCCCTCCCTCCCTCCTTCCTCTCCCCCCCCTCTCCTCCCCCCTCCTCTCCCCCCCTCTCCCCTCCCCTCCCCCCCCCCCCTCTCCCCTCCCCCTCCCTCCTCCCCCTCCCCCTCTCTCCCTCTCCCTCTCCTCCCCTCTCCCTCCCTCCTTCCTCTCCCCTCCCCTCTCCCTCCTCCCCTCCCTCCCTCTCCCTCCCCCCCTCCTCCCCTCCCCTCTCCTCCTCCCTCCCCTCCCTCCCTCCCCCCTCTCCCCTCCCCTCCCTCTCCCCCCTCCCTCCCCCCCTCTCCCCCCGGCACCTGCCTTGGTTTCCTTGACGTCCTGTTTCCCGCCCTCCGGGTACCACTGGACGCGCACAAAGCCTTTCTTGAGCGGCCGCTCGCGCCCCAACCCCTCGGAGTCGGAGTCGGAGCTGTCGCCGCTGCTGACCTCCCCGTGTATCAGCCCCACGATGCCGTGCCGCAGGGCCCCGCGGTAGGTGCCGGACACCAGGTCATCCACAAACAGGAGGCGCCGACTCCCGGGGGCCGCCGCTGGTGCCGCCATCGCCGCCGCCGCACACAGACCGGAGGCCGCGGCGCCGCTTTACGTACACGTATAGTGACGTCACCGCGTCCCGTCAGTTCAAGCCCCGCCCCCGCGGACCAATCACTGGGCAACGCGTACTCGGGGAACCAATCGGAGTGCGGCACCGGGACACTGCCGGACACCGGCGCCGCACCGAGTGGGGCACCGAGTGGGGCTTTCTCGCTCCTAATCGCCAATCATCGAAGAGGCAGTGTCAGCAACGGCGGAGCAACAAACCAACGGCGCTCCGGTTTGGCGCTGTGACAGCGAAGCACTGCCACTGTGTGTGAGGAGCCACCAGGCGGCGCTGTCACTGTGTGAGGAGCCACCAGGCGGCGCTGTCACTGTGTGAGGAGCCACCAGGCGGCGCTGTCACTGTGTGAGGAGCCACCAGCGGCGCTGTCACTGTGTGAGGAGCCACCAGGCGGCGCTGTCACTGTGTGAGGAGCCACCAGGCGGCGCTGTCACTGTGTGAGGAGCCACCAGGCGGCGCTGTCACTGTGTGAGGAGCCACCAGGCGGCGCTGTCACTGTGTGTAATATTACAACAAATTACATTTCAACAACAACAACAAGATTCCATTTATAAAGCGCCTTTCACGTCAGGAGGACGTCCCAAGGCGCTGCACAGTTGGGTCATGACCCGAGCATTGGGGGGGAAATGGTCAGGGGGAGGGGAGGGAAGGGAGGGAGCGAGGAGGGGAAATGGTCAGGGTGAGGGAGGGAAGGGAGGGAGTGAGGAGGGCAAATGGTCAGGGTGAGGGAGGGAAGGGGGAGTGAGGAGGGGAAGAGAGTCGAGAGTGGAGCTGAACGCTGAAGGTCAAAGAGTAAGGTTTTGAGACCGGCCTTGAAGGAGGAAAGGGAGGAAGCGGCGAAGGCACTGGGGATGGAGTTCCAGAGCCTCGGGGCTGAGAGGCTGAAGGCCCGACCACCGATGGTCGGGCGGTTGGGGCGGGGGACGTGGAGCAGACCGGAGCCGGAGGAACAGAGGGTACGGGCAGGTAGGTAGGGGGATAGTAGGTTGGAGAGGTAGGAGGGAGCGCGGCCATGAATGGCCTTGTAGGTGAGGATGAGGATCTTGAAATCGATCCTCTGGGGGATGGGGAGCCAGTGGAGGTGAGCGAGGGCGAGGGTGAGGGTGAGGGCGAGGGCGAGGGTGAGGGTGAGGGCGAGGGCGAGGGCGAGGGTGAGGGCGAGGGCGAGGGTGAGGGCGAGGGTGGGAGTGATGTGGTCGCGGTGTCCGGTGCGGGACAGTACACGAGCTGCAGAGTTCTGAATGACCTGCAGTGTGGAGGGAGGGCCGGGAAGGCCGACGAGGAGAGAGTTCCCATAGTCCAGCCTTGAGGTGACAAAGGCGTGGACCAGGGTTTCAGCCGCGTGAGGGGTGAGGTAGTGCCGTAGTCTGGCGATATTCCGGAGGTGATGGAAGGCGGTGCCAGTTGTGGTGCGGATGTGAGGGAGAAAGGACAGCTCAGGGTCGAACAAAACGCCGAGGTTCCTGACTGGCTTTGAGAGGTGGAGAGTGCGGCCTTGGATGCTGATGGTGTCGGCGCCTGAGGTGCGGAGGCGCTGACGTGAGCCAATCAGGAGGGCCTCAGTTTTGCGCACGTTGAGCTGAAGAAAGTTGTCTCTCGTCCAGGACTCGATGTCGGACAGGCAGCTGTCAGGACATCGGGGGTCGTGGAGTTGAGGGTAGAGGAGGAAAGGTAGAGTTGGGTGTCATCCGCATACATGTGGAAGTTAACCCCATGTCTGCGGATGATGTCACCACAGGGGGAGCATATAGAGGGTGAAGAGGAGGGGACCGAGGACAGAGCCTTGAGGGACACCGCACGAGACAGTGCGGGGGGTGGAGGAAAAGTCATTCGTGGAGACAAAGTGAAGACGATGGGAGAGGTACGACCTAAACCACTCAAGGACAGGGCCTTGAAGGTTGAGGTGGGAGGACAAGCGGTGGAGGAGGATAGCATGGTCGACCGTATCGAATGCTGCCGATAGGTCGAGGAGGACGAGGAGGCAGAGGGAGCCCTGGTCACAGATGGTCAGGATGTCATTGGTGACCTTGACCAGGGCAGTTTCTGTGCTATGGGCAGCACGGAAACCCGATTGAAGGGGTTTGAATAGTGAATGGTTGGAGAGGAAAGAGCGCAGCTGGGAGGCGACAACTCGTTCCAGGACCTTGGACAGGAAGGGGAGGTTGGAGATGGGCCGGAGATTGATAGCTGTGACGCATCAAGGGAGGGTTTTTTCAAAGTGGGAGTGATGGTGGCAGTTTTTAGGGGAATGGGAACAGAGCCAGAGGAGAGGGACAGGTTGACGATGTCTGTGATATGTGGGGCAAGGAGGTGGAGCTGAGAGATAAGGAGTGGAGTGGGGATGGGGTCAAGGGAGCAGGTGATGGGTTTCAGGGACAGGATGAGTTTGGTGACAGAGGGTGGGGAAACGGGTACGAAGGTGTGCAGGGGAGGATGGGTAGGAGTCAGAGTCCAGTCGGGGAGCGGCGGCAGGACAGCGCGGGGAGGAGCCTGGGCCTACTGACCCAGGTACTTAAACTCGACGCCGGAGCGAGTTCAGCCCCGGGGGCGGGGGGGGGGATGGTGTGGGGGCGGAGCGGGGGAACTGCTGACGTCATAGAATAGTTTTCAGGTGAGTGCGCGCGCAAAAAAAAAAAACCTCTGCGTCCCGCCCCCCCCCCCCCCAGGGCTCACATCAGAGCCCACTATGGTCCTGTTGGGTTCGCTGCCCCAATCTACGGGATAATGCCATCCACCTGACCGCTCGCTCCCGGTCCCCGCGTGCGCACTATGGCTGCCGCTTTGACCCGAGCCCCCTCACCCCTTCCCTCCCTCCTCCCTCCTCTCTCCCCCAAACCCTCCCCCTCTGCATCTCTCCCGCTCTCTCCTCCTCTCTCTCCGTCCCTCTCGTCTTCTATCCCCACTTGACCCTCCCACAACCTCCCTCTGCTCCATCCTGGGAATCCTCCGCCGGGCTCACCGTGGCACTCGGCGTTGGCTTTCCAGCAGCAGCCACACTGACTGCCCCATTCCCCACCACACTCGCCACCCACCCCGGACACAGACCCGGGGAGTCAACCTCTCCTCCCTTATCCCCATTCCCCCCACCCCTGCCTCACAACCTGGAGCCCCCTCCCTCCCACACACCCTTCTGTCAACCGCTCCCTCCACATCGGACTGGAAAATGTACGCTCCCTCTGCAACAAGGCCCTGGTCATCAACGATCTCATCCTTGATGAGAACGTTGACATCATGGCCTTAACAGAAACCTGGCTCACCCCAGGCGACACCTTCCCCCTCAGGGGCCACACCACCCGGCTACACCTCCCACCACATCCCCCACCCCAACCGCCGTGGCAGTGGTGTTGCCACCGATGTCCTGACAGCCTGCCTGTCCGACATCGAGTCCTGGACGAGAGACGAGAGACTGCCCTTATCTCAAGGACACCACTTGCCCTATCCCCCTACTCCTCTGGCTCTTTCCCCTCCTTTGAGCACCTCACCCTCTCCCACCCTTCATTCCTCTCCCTTAAAATCCTCCTCCTCTACCGGCCCCCTAAAACCTCTCCCACCTTCATCTCTGACATTTCAACACTCCTCACATCTCTTTGCCTCTCCTCTGATCGCCTCATCATCCTGGGCGACTTTAACCTACACTTCATCCCCTCCTGCTCCATCTCCACAGACTTCTCTTCCCTGCTCTCCTCACTCAACCTCTCCTTACACATAAACTCCCCCACTCACAGTCACGGCCACCCACTCGATTTGGTGATCACCCGGGGCCTCAGTGTCTCGGATGTCACTATTACCGACAAGGCCATCTCTGACCACTACTTCATCTCCTTCACCACCTCCACCCCCCTCCCCACCTCCACCAGACCCACCACCATCTTCTACCGCCCTTGGAAGAAGTTACCCCCACAATCCCTAACCGATGCCTTGGAGTCCTCTGAACTCCTCTCCCTCTGGCCTTCAACCCTCACCGACCCCTCTTCTCCTCTCTCCCTCCTCCACAATACCCTCTCCTCCACACTCGATACTCTTGCCCCCATCACTTCCCGCACTGTCTCCTACTCCCGCTCCTCCCCCTGGTACACCACCCACCTCCGCTCACTGAAAAGCCAGGTGCGGGCTGCTGAACGCACCTGTGTCAAATCTGGCCTAACGGTCCACCGACAAATCTGGCTGGACCTCCTCAAAATTTACCGCTCCACTCTAGCCTCGGCCAAGTCGTCCTTCTACTCCAGGATAATCCTGGAGGCGAAGAACAACCCCAGGCTACTGTTTTCCACCACAACCCGACTCCTCCGTCCCCCCCGCCACCCCGCGCAGGTCATCTCCTCCAACCTTCACTGCGAGGAGATGCTGGATTTCCTTGAATCCAAGATCAAGGGAATCCGCTCCGCGGTCACTTCCCCTCCAACTTCCACCAACCCCCCCACCCCTTCCCTCCCACACTCCGACTCCTACCCATCCTCCCCTACACACTTTCGTACCCGTTTCCCCACCCTCTGTCACTGAACTCATCCTATCCCTAAAACCAACCACCTGCTCCCTTGACCCCATCCCCACTCCACTCCTTATCTCCCAGCTCCACTTTCTTGCCCCACATATCACTGACATCATCAACCTGTCCCTCTCCTCTGGCTCTGTCCCCATTCCATTAAAAACTGCCACCATCACGCCCACCCTGAAAAAACCCTCCCTTGATGCGTCGCAGCTATCAAGCTACCGGCCCATCTCCAACCTCCCCTTTCTCTCCAAGGTCTTGGAAAGAGTTGTCGCCTCCCAACTGCGCTCTTTCCTTTCCACCCATTCTCTTTTCGAACCCCTTCAGTCAGGTTTCCGTGCTGCCCATAGCACAGAAACTGCCCTGGTCAAGGTCACCAATGATATCCTGACCATCTGTGACCAGGGCTCCCTCTGCCTCCTCGTCCTCCTCGACCTATCGGCAGCATTCGATACG